TTGTGTGTGTGTGTGTAAGTGTGCTTGTTGAGTTCTTGAAAGTCATACAGTGTTGCAAACTTTGGCTGAAAACGAAAAGGAATGTTATGGTAATTGAAAATGATTAAACGCAAAAAAAAAAAAAGTTCTATTTTTTTATTAAAAAATAAATCCATTAAGACGTAGCGACCAACAAAAAAAAGCATCGACACAGTTGTTTATCTTGCAAATACAAGTACGAAACATAAAATTTACTCTTCTTAGGAGCCAAATAATTATGCGTTATTCCTATTTATGGATTAAAAAGCCCCAAGTAATAGATACAATTGGAAGCCGCGTTATCGTACTATTTTATAAGCAAAGAGAAACAGAAACCTAATTTTAGAATCAAATATAAAGAAACTAATATAATAGGTAACAACAAATGTATGAAAGACAACGATACAACAAGTTGAAGTAAATACAAATTGAATTTTTGATTGAATATTAAAGTTAAAAATGATGAAAGGAAATTGAAAAGAAGGAGCACAGAGATGGACTTCATTGTTATAGTTAAATAACAAAAAAAAAAAAAAACTGCTTAAATGCTTTGATTTCAACACCCTATTCTTAAATTGAAAATAAATTGCACTTGTTACTTGTTTTTCACAGGCCAAATTCCTCCTAGATAAAGCGGATTGGATCAATTACTCCAAACAGGTGGAGTCATTTTTGAATTCAAAGCCATTTAACGGAAACTGCAACCATGATGCTGCTATTATGTCTAAAGCGATTCGCACAGCTGCTCATCTTTCTATTCCTTAATCCAACACCTCTTTTAAACGAGCTAGGGTTCCTTGGTGGAACAACACGCTTTCGTTTTTGAGGAAAAATAAAATGGATTTATGTCACCGCTTTAAGAGATGTCCTGATCAGAATCACTTGTTATTATATAAAAAGGCCAATGCTCTATTCAGGAAGGAATTACGGAAATCAAAGGCACTTAGTTTCGAACATTTCTCGAGACGAATTCACAGAAATACATCAATGAAAGTTGTATGGAACAAAATCAACAGACTTAATGGGACTTCAAACCTGAACGAAATTTCTGCCATCTGCACTCCCAATGGAACTTTAACTGACGCAGACGAGATTTCTAATTACTTTGGAAAAGTGTGGTGCGAATACTCCTCTGACAGCAACTTCTCCAGTGCTTTCATTGAAAATAAAAGGACTCCAATATCTCCTCCAAATAATATCGATAGATGTGCCATGTTCCTGGAAAATTGCATATCTACCTCAGAACTTGGAAGTTGTCTCTCCAATTTGAAGGGGAAGACACCTGGTCTAGACCGCATCTCATACCAAATGATCAGTGCTATGTCTAAGTCTAGTAAAAAGAAATTACTGGACCTATATAATACGGTATTTATGACTGGCCATATACCCTACATGTAGAAACTGGCAACAGTTGTTCCAATTCCAAAGTCAAAAAATGTCTCCATCGCATCAGATTATCGCCCAATTTCTCTTTTACCTTGCCTCTCTAAGGTATTAGAGAAGATTATGGCATCTAGATTATCTTGGTTTCTTGAGTCCAAAAACCTGATAACAAAGCAACAAGTTGGTTTCAAGCGGGGTAGAGGGTGCATCGACGCTCTGTTACATATTGATTATTTCACAAGCAAAGCGATTTCCGAACGAATTCACGTAACAATTCTCTCAATTGATTTCGAAAAAGCATTTGACAGAGTTGGTCTTCATGTTATCTTAAGACTCTTGAAATCATGGAATGTTGGACCCAAATTCTTCAACTACATCAAATCATTCATGTCGCATCGGCGGTTCAAAGTTAGAATCAACAATCATCTTTCTGATTCCTTTCCGCTAATGAATGGCATTCCGCAAGGATCTCCTCTCTCTGTCACGCTTTTCCAGATCGCTTTCAACGAAATTAGCAAAATTCTTTGCCGTGTACCAAGAGTGGAACATTGTCTCTACGCGGACGATGTATACATTTTTACAAAATAAAAAGACAACACGAAAGCAATCAACATCCTCGAATCTATTGCATGTGAGATCTCCACGTGGGCAAACTCGTCAGGAGCTAAAATTTCTATACAAAAATCAAATAAAATGCACATATGTCGAAAACAAATGTGCGATGCAGGAAACCTACTGATGCATATTAACGACCTACCAGTACTAAATGTGCAGACGCTCCATGTTCTCGGGCTCACGTTTTCCAACAATTATCGTTGGAAAGCACACTGTCTTCAGTTAAAAAACTCTCTTTTAACAAGGGTAAATTTCATACAGTACGTTGCTTGGAGAAGCCATGCGCATATTAACACTATTGCTTATCTTACGAAAATTCTTGTGTTAAACAAGATTGACTATGCTTTGATAATTTATGGCAATAGCTGCAAATATAATATCAACATCCTTAAACCGGTCTATCACCAAGCCGTCAGAGCAAGTTGTTATGCTTTTCGGACGACGCCCATAAATAATATTATAATTGAAACTGGTCTCCCAACTTTAGAAAATAGACTGTATGAGTTAAAAGCTAAAATAGTCCCTTAGCTTCTTAATTCAAACAAATCCATTCTCGGTGATGACGTAAGAAAGATTATTATTGCGAAGAAAATTCCAAAGTCACCATCTGCAATTGACCATTGTTTGTGCATCGCAAAGGAATTGAACATTCCCTTAAAAATTTCCCGCTCTTTTGGTGTTAAACCTCCCTGGATTTTGAAAGACTGCTCTTTTGACATCTCACTGTCTATGCACAAGAAAGAAGATACTCCAAATTACGTCTTCAGGAATCTAATAGCTGAAAAAACCCAAGTATTGGACAGTAGTGGCTGGAATCTTTTGTACACAGACGGCTCAAAATCTCCTGGTTTTCCTCCTGCTTGTGCGGTGGTAGATGCTACAGGACGGGTTCTTCTCAACCACATATTTCACGAAAGTACTTTAACTTTCACGACGGAAGCCAGAGCTATCCTTCACGCTGCCAACCTTGTCCATAAAAACAAACTCAAAACCGTTATTGTTACCGACAGTTCGTCTGCATTACAAGCTGTTCGGAATCCTTCGACTTCGAGATGGAGCACCATCAACAAATTTAGGAATATAATTACTACACCCGACGGAAAAATTAAAATGTTATGGGTACCAAGTCACATCGGTTTACTGAGAAATGAGCAGGCGGATTTAGCGGCAAAGTATGCTACTTCTGCTCCTCTATTTATGGATGATGTCATGGAAAAGTTGGATCTTCAAAGATACATTGGAAGAAAAGTTAAAGAGAAAATTACAGAAGGAAATTTACAACACCATCATCAACACTACTCTTTTATTGACCCTCAATTAACTCCACCTTTATATCCAACAAACGTTGAGAAAACCAAGATCCAAACATTCTCGAGAATTCGCCTTGGTCATACAACTGCAACTCACCAATGGATCCTGAAGAAGTCTTCTTCCCCAATCTGCTGTTGTGGACAAACTCTTACTATAAAGCACATTCTCTGCGATTGCCTCAACTTTTCCTCGGCTAGAAGTATTGCATTTGGAACGATTAACCCTTTGAACATTCTACAATCAGCTTCAGAACAGAATATCAATTCAATATATTACTTTTTTAATACCACTAAGTTCACTATCTAATATCCATTTATTTAAATTAGAGCCGATAGCCTGTGTTGCTACTGCTCAATGTCTTTTTTTTAGTCTAAGAATTCATTTCATTAGTCTAAAATTAAAATAATAATAATAATAATAAATACTTGTTTTTCATGCCTTATAAAATAATAGTGGGTATAAATCAAAATTTGAAATCGAAAAAGATAAAGAAAACTAAAATTAGTACAAAATAAATACAAATTAGATAAATAACTTTTAAATTGGAGAGAAATAGTGTTTATTTTTCCTATTATGTTATTCCGTTTATGTGTCATTTTTTTGTAGACATAAAAAATCAAAAGCCCAAATTCCCACAACATCCTCAGAAAGCTCTCAAAGCTCAAATCATATGCCGAAAATAGAAATAACACATCATTGTATCAGCCCGCTGACTCTTAGATATTATTCATAAAACCCGTGCAAATTTATAAAATCATGTAAGAAAATATGAAGGTATCCTTAAATAATAGAATTTCTTTTAAATGACACTTTTTATCTCCAACAAGTAATGAAAATAAATACAAATTGCTACTTTTCGCTATGCATGTAAATGCAAAACAGTTGAATAATTGACGTGCTTAATATTTATGCAAGCTATATCATGGCAACTCTATGAGGTAAATCTAAATTTGACACATTTAGTCAATCTTGAAATGTATACAGCTGACCAAATTAATCACATATGCGTAACAATCGATTTTAGTTAGAAATTGGATTAATGTGACATCCTATCTTCGAAAAAAATTACTATATACGTATAGGATTAAGATAAATTTTTGAATCTACTTCAAGATATTTTTCAAAAATTACCGAAATTAGTGGTAGGCTTTCTTCTTCGGTAGGAAAACATATCCTTTTCCATTATAGATACTTTCATGTTGCAAGTAATCTAAGAGAGAATAATATCACGTGTTACACTTAAGATATGGGTATGCATCGAACTTCAATAGCGGCACCTCACAGAAGACATTCAATACTTAATAGAAGCATCGATTAATATTGTGTTTTTTTCATCTTAGTCAGTAAAAATGTGAATATGAAAATAGTTTAAAACACTATAAGGGGCGACAAAGTATACATTTACATACGGTTTTGAATTGGAAACTACGATCATAGGAATATAGGTTTACAGGATTACTCAAACATAGCTAGTTTAATGTCAAAAGATTATCATAAAAAAAAAAAACAAATAAATGATCACCAGCAAATAAAATCTCATGATTTCGTTATCAGAGCGATTTGCTCACATAGTCACACATCAAATAATGATCATAATGATAAAATAAAAACAGATTATCAATAATTTCATTTCAGAATTTCTTTGTGCGCGGCATGTTGTCGTGAGTTGAATGAGATATTTGTCATATTTATTCAAATTTCAAACGTATCAGTTAAAGTACGCTACTAACCAAAGCGGTCGTCGCTACAGTTAATAAAATGCAACAAACACCTCAACGTTTAACTTATGTTGTAATGGCTGGAAGGGGTAAATTGACAGCGTTCACTCTACGCCCCTCTCGTTTTATTAACAGTGCTGTTAATGTTAATAACGTAAATAACAGATTCAGCAAAATTGAAGATAAAGAAGTAAGACATATAGCTGTCAAAAAAAATTCACTTGCTGCGTGGTCTAAGTCTGGTAGTAGTTGGCGATCGTTTACGCATAAAGTATTATTTAAAACAACCGGTATTATAAACGAACTGGCAACGAAGCGTTTAATAACAACTAAAGCTAGAGAAGTAACTTATCATAGTTTAGCAGTAAGTATTTTTGATTTACTAAATTAAAACGCGACTATAATAATGGTTTGCTTCACATTAATTGCGTTTAGTGAACATAGTTGAAGATATGTTATACGCATACACATATACATATAAATTGTAGTGTCAGTATGAAATTTTGTATATTTCTTAAGAAATGTTACCCACATGTTTGGAAATTTAATCATGGATGGAGTTGTTTAGTAGCTTCATTTTCCATTATTTACCAGAAAATTGAACTATGGATTTCACATTATGGATATTCCATAAATTCCATGAATTATCCCTTACGTAATTTCAATTATAAATTTGAATATATGATGATCTTACGATCTGGTTACAGTTCAATACGCACTTGAAAGGAAATACGGTACATTAGTGAGTTCTTTGGGAAAGCTTGGAATATTATGATGCATTTTTACTCTTGGTTTTCTTCACGGAAGGATATATGAATCAGCTTTAATGCGTCAGTCAAAAATTCACACATTGTTATAATATTTAGCATTTTTCGTTGGGAATGGATTTAGCTTCGCCGTATGTTCTTCTATTCGGTTTCTCAAAGTGGTCGATGAACTTCTTAGCAAACATACTTAGACTTTTTTAAAAACTGCGTGTTTTTACCGCAATGAAAGACAGAATGTGGCTTTAATCATAAATTTTGGTGGCTTGTTGGATAGTTTATGCCCTTATTGATTTGCTTGTTTTTCCATGCGGCCGTAGTCGAAAGAACACCACCATCTCGCCATTACGGCTAAATGTCCTTGGAATTAAATTTTTGGATATCAGTTTTGCTAAGACGTGTCCTTGATAATTTGTATTTCAATTTTTTTATTTGTATTGTGAATGTGTTTTCGCGTGAAAGTAACCTATTTTATGGCCGTCAAGAGAGTATTGGAATATCGTAAGTTTGTCGTTCCGTTTGGAATGAGTATATATATTGTTGATCAGTGTAAGATGCGGAACTGATTTATCTACGTACATTCATCTTTTCTATCATTTACTCTTAAAAGCCTTCAAAAAGTTAAAAATTAAACATTTGGGACCAAGATGATAATTGGCATATGCATGTTTGTAACTGATGACCACAGATCAAGTTTGAGAAATAACATATTATGTTTTCAAGTGGCGGGAGACTTTGCCTTACATTCATTACCCGCTTCTAAAGGTAGCCATAACTGTTTTGCGAAGGCCTTTTAAATCTACAATAAGAGAATGAATTTGTGATCGGCTAATAAGCACAAAGTTGAACATAGAATAATGCCCCTGCCAGTTCACTTTGAGAGGTTATGAGTCATGAACTTTCATTTAATGTGTTATGTAACGCTTTGAGATGATGGGTATCAAAAATTCGCATCTAGTTCTTAAGGTGTGCTGATGGAAACCAACATAACCTAATGTGTGAGTTTTGATTGCTGAATGAATAAGGCTCGCTTGCCTATTTCTGCACGCTACAAACGAAATCGCAATGTCATAAAGCCGCCACACTATACTCCAATCTCAATGAATTTTTTTTTTTGTCAAAATTTGCACAAATACAATCTATATGTATATGTATATATATATATATATATGCACTTGGTTACGTATTTGAATAAGACTAATAAATAAAAGGGAGAAAACTTATCAGTTAAAAGATTTGAACTTCATGATCTTGAAATGATAATTAACTGGTTATTTTTCGATTTTATTAGAAACGAATTAAAAAATTATTTTCATCATTCTAAATATGCGAAGCACATTGCTAAAGTGATAGTCAGCGTGTACAGATCTTTAATTTTGGGATAGAAAATTTTTTCAAAAACAACAACATGGCTTCAAAAGTACATTTAAATACAGTGTGAAATAAATAACCGATGATGAACTTTTCAAAAATTATTTTTATTTATTTACTTTTTTTCCCGATATTTTGCAGAAAATGTCCGGCAATTCTAAACTACTTAATTCGTCTTTGAAAGACATCGATACGGAGCTACTAGATTTGATCAAATGTGAGAAAAAACGTCAACTTAGAGGCTTAGAAATGATAGCCAGTGAGAATTTCACTTCACTAGCTGTATTAGAATGTTTAAGCTCGTGTTTACATAATAAATATTCCGAAGGTTTACCTGGAAAGCGGTTAGCATTTACATTAAAAAAAAAGAAGCGTTGTTATGTAATGATTTTTATCAACTTTTTTTTTTTTTTTTTATTAGCTATTACGGTGGCAACGAGTTCATTGATAAAGTGGAAATTTTGGCTCAGAAACGTGCTTTGGAAGCTTTTAATCTAAATCCCGAGGAATGGGGCGTTAACGTGCAACCTTATTCAGGATCACCTGCAAATTTTGCAGTGTACACGGGCTTATTGCAACCTCACGATCGTATAATGGGTTTAGATTTGCCCGATGGTGGCCATTTGACTCATGGTTTTATGACACCCACTAAACGTATCTCAGCCACGTCCATCTTTTTTGAGAGTATGCCTTACAAAGTCAATCCAAAAACTGGTCTTATTGACTACGACGCTTTGGAGGCTAGTGCTAAACTATTTAAACCGAAAGTTATAATTGCTGGTGTTTCTTGTTACTCGCGTTGCTTAGATTATGCCCGTTTCCGGAAAGTTTGCAATGAAAATGACTCTTTTTTGTTTGCTGATATGGCTCATGTCGCTGGTCTCGTGGCCGCTGGTCTTATACCTTCACCTTTTCAATATGCTGATGTAGTCAGTACAACAACACATAAAACACTGCGTGGTCCTCGTGCTGGTGTGATCTTTTTCCGTAAAGGCGTACGAAAAGTGAAACCTAACGGTGATAAAGTGATGTACGACTTGGAGGAACGCATTAACGGCGCCGTATTTCCTGGTCTACAAGGTAAGATTTTAGCTTCCCTGGTATTTTTTTACATTCTGTCAAAAAAGTACACAAATCATTCATATAATAATCTCGATTAGTTTTTATAAACTAAAGTAATCCGCTTCGAATGTTCTTGCTTTGAATATTCCTATAGATAAAACCATCGAAGAGAGAAATCTCAGAAGTTTAGGGTTCTCAAAAGAATTGTATGTTGAAAATTTTTAAAATGATTTAAAATAATGAAATTCTATGAAAAGCATGAACAAATGATGAAATTATGTTTTAAACAACAATTGTGATCCATTATCAAACTCGAGATGCGTTCGCCTTCAGTACTTTATTATATGTCTTGGACATAAAAGGCGATGCAACTTGTCATATTATAAAAAAAAAAAAAAAAAGAAAATCAATTTGGTATACAATAGTTTCTAGGCCAAGAATAACTCAACCATTAAATGAATGGGTCTGAGGGAAATTCAGACAATCCGAAAAGTGATAAGTGACAAAAAATCCGGCAAATAGATTAATAATATCCACGGAGTTTTTGATTCAGATATAGTTTTTTTTTGAAAATCTAGATTAATTAAAAGAATGCTAAGCATATATTTTCCTGGTACTTTTTTAATACAATGTATTTCTATTTCATATGATAAAAACTGTGCAAACATATTAATATTTTGGGTTACAGGTGGTCCTCATAACAATACCATCGCTGGCATTGCAACTGCTTTCAGACAGGCTAAAACGACCGAATTTGTTCAATATCAAACTCAAGTGATAGCAAATTCACGACGTCTATGTGAAGGTTTAATGAATCTTGGTTATGATATCGCTACCGGTGGCACTGATGTGCATTTGGTTTTGGTCGATTTACGGAACAAAGGTTTAACGGGATCTCGCGCCGAATACGTTCTGGAAGAAGTTAGTATTGCTTGCAATAAAAATACTGTACCTGGTGATAAATCTGCCATGAACCCCTCTGGCATACGTTTGGGTACACCAGCCTTAACTACGCGGGGCTTAATAGAAACTGATATTGATAGGGTCGTAGAATATATTGATGCCGCCCTAAAAATATGTGCCGAAGCTGTTAAGGTGTCAGGTCCGAAATTAGCAGATTTTCAGCAAACTATTCACCAAAACCAAGACATTTCAAGGAAAGTCCAAGCTTTACGTAAGGATGTGGAAAAATTCAGTGAAAAATTTCCTCTACCCGGTTTTGAGGAAATATAAAAACCACATGTACATAAGGTGCCCGGTGGTTTTCATACCAAATTTTTAATTTTTGGTGAATTAAAATTTTATTGTTTTTTTGTTTTTTTTTTTCTTTTTAATAGAAAATAAACACTTTTTTGTACAAAATAAAATGAAAAGAGAAACAAGCAACGAAAAAATAATATTAACAATATGCTTACACGATTTTTAAATGATACGCGCATGTCCATCAATCTAATTGTGTATCCAAGAATCCATTTTAATGCACTCTTTTAGAGGACGCATATCACGATGAAAACGTGAATTGTGTGTGGACAGAGACCATTTAGTTTTAAAGCTTTTATTGCATAAAGCACAAGTGAATTCTTTGCTTGAGATTTTAGTATGCTTGGACGCAACGTGGCGACGTAATGCATTCATGCAGTTCAGTTTACGTTTACATATTTTACAGGTTAGAAATTTGGCTGAAATCAAAGAAAGTAAACAGAAATATAAATAAAAAAACACTTTCTTTTTTCTTTTTTTTTTTTTTAGAAATATTAAAGTTTAAGGAATTTGTTTATTAAAAATTACAAATGTTTATTTATCATCTTTTTCTATGCACACACATACACGCTTCTCTAGTAACATTTATTTATATTTTATTAATTTATGGAGTTTTATTTCCGTCTATTTATACACTAAAGCTCGAAAAATGACTTTGCATTTGAATATTTATTATTCATATTTATTTTTATAAATGATTTCTGTTTACTATGAATGCTTAATAGATGAGATGTGTTTCTTTTCTTTTTTTTCTTTTTAATATATATTATGATTTATTTGTACAATTCTTGGGGAGACAGAAACGGAAGGAAAGGAAATAAAACAAAAAATATATTCGCTTCCGAGCAAAACTTTTACACCGAAGGTCTTAATCACATATATAAGAAAACTTTGGAGCTTTCTTTTTATAAAAATAAATTATTATTTTTGATAGCACTGCCGATAGATTATATATCGATCTTAGCTATTATGATTGTAAGTTACTGGTAGTTTAGGGAATTTTTTTTCTTTGCTAAGTAATGAACAAGGCGTATATGGCCATTTTCAACAATGATCTACAGACACCGGGTAAATTTTAAATTATTTCCTTTATTTTAACGACTAAGAAAACTGTAGCAATGAGAAATTGGAAACGGATAGAGGTAAAATGCAGCAAAACCTTATGCTAATCAAGTATACGTCTTCAATATTAAGTCGGTGACATGTATATTTTTAGTATTACAAGAACAATAACAGAACAAGTTTACTTTCCTCTTTCGCTGATATAAGTATAAAATTTTTTTTTTTTAAATAAATTTATTCATTTTTCTTTTATTTTATTACTCTAAATGTGTGCACTTATTTTACGTATGTATATGTGGTTTTCTTTTTTTTAGTTTACATTTATGAAAATTATTATTTGGTGAATAATATTTAATACATATATTTCCTTTTTATTTATATGATGAATTTATATCAGAGACTAATGCATGATTGATATTTATCCCATGAGATATTAAATATGCCAGCAAGAGCATTAAAACAAATTTTTAACTGGTTGATTTTCAATATTACACACACACACACACACACACAAACAAACATACGAACGAACGTACATACACACACGTATATAAACACTGGATTTATCTTGTGCAGCATGTGAGATAATAAAACAAGTGCTAAAGAGAAGTTAAAGCCATATTTATTAAACTGCATTTACTTCGTTGTAAGAAATAAACAGAATATCTCATCGCAATAACATGTCTACGCCGGTTATTAACAAACGGCTTTGTTTATTTTTTTTCTTCTTCTTCTTGCTGTAGTAAAATAAACGTAACTGTTTCTCTTCTGACAACATCATTCTTTATAAGGATAACCAAAAAATAATATAAAAAAAAAGAAAATAATAATAATAATAATAAAACATTCTTAAAAATACTTATATATGATTTGTACAAAATGGCAATAACATTACAAAAAATTATTTCTAAATAAAGCAAAAAGAAAAAGAATTCTAAATGAATTTGATTTCGAATTTCGAATCGACTAAAGGTGTATTCAACGTGTATAATTTTAAAAATAAAAAAGCTAAATTCATATATAATAACAGTACATCGATAATTGGAGCTTTTTTTTTTTTTTTTTTTTTTGAAATATTTACAAGATTTTTTTTCTTCTTTATTCTAGTATCTAAATAATACGTAATTTTTCTTCTTCTTTTTTTTTTCATTCATCATCACCTATCATTATCTATCGATTTTTAATATTATTTGGACATTATTTGATTACATGTTTAGTATGGCTTCATTACCACACGACTAGCTGCTCACTATACGATATACGGTCAATCAGTTTTCCGTTTTAACGGCGACCTTTTGTTCATGCGAAATGCGTATATGTTCACGCAGACTGTATTTGTTTTTAAAATTCTTATTACATAATTCACATTTACGCGGCGGTTGTGGTGTATGCTGCGTACGAATATGTCTCCAAAGATTAACCGTAGTTATAACCATTTTGCAAAATTGACATTCTGTCCATTTATTATTGGGTAAATCTAAAAATATACAAAAAATGCAATATAAACGACAGATTCTAAGATTTTTTGTAGCTTAAACCCATCACCCTCACCTACGTTTACAATTATATTCGTTACTTTCTGTAAATTTTTAGAAATGCGATTAAGAGGTGCTATAAATTAAATTAGTTATGCTCACACAATGTTAGATTCTGCATTGATTAATGCAAATCTGTCTTATTGTTGCTAAACGTAAAGTCATCAATATTGAAAAAAGAAAGCCGGAAAATCGCAGGGACACTATTCCGTCAATTATACGGATCAAATTACAAGTTCGACCAGATGACAACTGTGGTAGACTAAGAAAAAGTTTCGGAACGCATTCTCACTTGTCATTAATTAACTATAACAAAATATCTATCAATCAATCAATCTTCTGTATGATGCAACTATGAATTTGGTGAAATATGTAATGTGTATATTGGAATTATATTCGAAATGGATTTCAATAGCATCGATCGACACCAATCGACTTTTATGATGGCGTCAGTTTTGTTTTAAGGAAACCACCGCATAAACTAATACACATACAGTGGTTCATACGTGAATTTTTTTTTTTTTTTTTTTAAGGAAGACACTGTCAGTGTTTTTTATGGCCCACAGCATCTACTAAAAAGTAACGACTGGATTTATCCAGAATGTTACCACCCTGAATTATATATTCACACTTGCTTTCAGTTTGTTAATGATTGGCCAGATCATTTGTAGCCCTGACAATTAACACTATATATAGCACCTACTTAAAAATTAATTACTTAATAAAATTTAGATAAATATATCTTCTACGATATTATTCCAATTCATCCACTAAATGACATGTGATTTATTAACAAAAAAATTATATATTTAAGGTGATGGGTATTTAAAAAAAATTCGCCGCGAGACGAATATTATTTAGTTTTTAAATTTGAAATATTAAGAAAGTTAAAAGAAAAAGAAAAGAGAGAAATGAAATATTCTAGTTATAGCATTGCTAGGAAATGAAAATGAAAATTTTAACTAATAATAGATGAATAAAACTATTGTAGTTATAATTACACTTATTAAAGACTTTATAGTCATTAAACTCTCTCTCTCAAAAAAAAAAATTTTATGCACTCGCTCTTTTTTTCTTTATTCAATATTAACAATTTGTAATTCATGGCTAGAAATCATGTAGTGTTTGTTATAGAGTATTTTCATTAAGGCAAATAAATTGCCTTTCCCTTCCTTTTTTTTAAGTTACGTCATAAAATTTGGTTTTATTTTTTTTCGATATACCATTGTAAGGATCTAATTGTACTTTGGAAATTATCATGACAAAAAAAAAAAAGAAAAATGGTAATCGACATTTATGATATTCTTAAAGCGTAAAAAAAAAAATAAAATAAAATACTAAATACATAGACACAGAGATTTGGCAAATGATTCAAGGTCATCGATTATATTATTCTTCCATTATGTTGAAATCTCGCCATTAGAGTTTATTATTACCTGAACTTCATTTAGAACAACTTGAAACTGTATGCTTACAACGTCGCCATGGATTTATAATTGAGGACTGGTAACTTCCATAGCCAAACCATTGCTCTCTTTAACTAAATTAATCCTTAATAGCTTCGCTTGAAATGAAATTTTAAGTAAATATACTGAGTTGTTTCGGCAGTAGTTGATGGCAGCGTCTTTTTCAATACTTTAAAGATAATTAAAGGCCTCCTCTTTTACGCCTTCATTCTTTATAAATCAATAGCATTCGATGTCTCTGACACGCACTTTTTTTCGCTATCCGACGAAAGAAGCGAGTTATTCAATTTGAACTATGGGTAAGAATAAAAATGATGCAAAACTCTGTAGGGAGCTCATATAAAGTAATGTTAAACAAAACTATTTTTTCCATGTGCCAGAATGAAACTTATTTATACAATAGGAAAATTGATTGACTAAGCATATCGAGGGCTTCACGGTAGACGACAATCTTTAATTAAATATGAAATGTTGGGAAACACTTAATGTTAATACATTTCTCAATAAATACTTTTGACACAAGTGCTAATATTAAAAAACATTATATTTCTTTGAACATTCTTTAACGTAGTAAAGTGTGTGTGATGCATGAAACTATATGTTTAGATATGGTTTAGAGTTTCATTAAAAGAAATTTAAATTTAAAAACATAGTAAATAATAAATGAGAAGTTGAAACCTTGGAGACATATTCGTTGCTAAATGTAAGAAATAAAATTACAAGAACAAAAAAAAAAAAAAAAAAAACTTCGCAACTAAGAAAACGTAGAATAAAATAAAAATTTTTTTACCGTTCTAAAATGTTTTCAATATTTTTTGAAAACAGAAAATAGATGTTTTTTTATTACTTACCTGTGGTGGAACTGCCTTTATTATCAGTTTTAATGGTTGTCACTACGTTTCCCGTGTTTGTTGCGGTATCGTCTAAAGCATTTTGAGTCGCTGCTGTAGTGGTGGCCGTGGTACTTAACAATCGTCCTGAAATTCACCGTAAAAACGTAAGGTTTTAAAGTTTTTTATATATAACATTTTCATATATTTTGCTTTTATACCCATTTCTATAGTTATTTCCGCGTTATCAGCTTCAGCTTGATGAAATTTTTCCTCTATTTCGGATTCTGTTAAAATTTCATATTCAGATGTGTATTGTGTAACATTTTGACCACTGTTCGATGTGTCTTGATTAGCATTCTGAGTACCGCCGCCATCCGATAAGCCACCACCGTCCGATAAACGATCGCTGACTATATACTCAGGGATATCCATTTTAATGGTGCCACGCAATAAAGTGACATCAGCGGCTGAATAAATAAAAATGTTTCGTAGGATTATTGTGTATTAATGAAGTACATTTTTAAGCTAGCAAAAGACAACAAGTAAAAAGATTAAAGTGGAAGACGACCTACCATTAAATACCCTACACCACCAATTCCATTATTATAATTATTCCTATAACGACTTTTTAAGGTAGGGTTCTTTATGGGAAGTGACCGAAAAAACGTTCTGATCCATACCACTTTCGATGGCGTTCGTTCTTGGTCCCACATGTGTGTGTACCAAATTTCATCAAATTATCTCTAAAATTGTGGCCTAGAGGATGAAGAGTAGAGAATACAAGACGGACAGACATGCCTAGAATCGCTATCTGAATCGATTGAGATAATAAAAATCGGGCCTATCTTAAATAATTCTGAGTGTTGAATACATCCGCAGAAACTTAATACACCCTTCCACCACAAGCGATGTAAGGTATAATTATAAACTCTAACAAGTACAATCGCCTTCATTCGCCTCTAATTAATAATTGATGCCTTTTTGTAGAAATGTTTATACGAATTGACAAATGTAACATGATTAGTAACGGAGTTCGCTTACTTTTTACAATTGTTTGTTCATCCTTAACACCATAATCCACCGTCTCGGCTGTATATATATTATCATCATCATCCGAAAAGGTGATTTTACGTTTCTTGAGGGTATTTTGATGAGTAGCGGGGAGCGTTACAATACCCGCAGTACTTAATTGAGGTTGAGTATTGACTTGCACTTGTTGCGTAGGTTGCTGGGTGGAATGATGAGTAACTTGCTGTAATTGCAGAGTCTGATGTTGTCCCTGTTGCACTGTGGTTACTTGATGATGAACCTGTTGGCCGGTTGTGGGATTATGTTGCGGTTGCTGATGCTGCTGTTGAACTTGTATATGTTGTATTTGTGTTTGTACATGATGTTGATGTTGGGATTGGGATTGAGATTGCGGCTGTTGCTGATGTTGATGGAGTTGCTGGGAGACTTGTAATTGTTGAGCGGTAGCTTGCAGTAAATTGGCTGTTGGTATTTCAAGAGTAGTTTGTGTGGCTGCCTGTGTAGCTGTTGCATTATCATTTACAGCTCGAATAGTGCTCGGTATGGTTTTTATTAATTTATTATCTTCAATAATGGGTGCCGGTGGTTTAGGTTTTTCTTTTTCCTCAGACGTCAAACCTTGAACTGCCAGCAGTTCAGCTGTTTGTAAGAAAGACTGCAAAGCTTCCTGCTGAACATTAACTTCGCCCTTAAAAAATTTTAAACAGTTTAACCTAAATACGAGTCAAAATCAGAGATTTTTTTTCCATTCTTCTACCTGATACATAAATTCTATGATTGAATTGAGATCCTCAAATTTAATAAATTTAAATATTATCACCGGATGCGGGTGTGGATTTTCTGTAAATATCTCCTTAAAATATGAACTGCACGCCGATAACACCACCTTGTGTGCCTTAATCTTACGCCCATCACACAACAAACTCACATCGACAAAATCATCATTGTTCCGATGATTGTCTAAAGCATAAGTCAGATGCCGAAAATAGTTGTTCCAACGCAATGAATACTGCTGTGGTGCTGCCATTATTAGGTGTTCCTAATGCTATTTACAAAATAACAATAGAAAACTATGATGAAAGCAATTTAGCAAACAATTGCAATTTGCAATTTGTTTCTTAATCCAATTTAATGCATTTGCTTTCCTTTCCCTTTTTTTCTTGTTTTTCTAATGCTAATTTTCGAACGCTTTTGAGTCTGTTAGACAATTTACACATTTACATAAATTATAATCATTTGTTTCTCTTTTATTTTAATTTAAATTCTTCTTTAATTAAGCATTTTCAATTTGGCAATTTTGCACCGTTAACGTTTAATTTGTTTTAACTTTGAGCTTGAAGAAAAGAATTTTCTGCATGAAAATTTTTTATGTACGCTTTGCTTTAGTGTTGCCAGGCTTTATTTATTGATTATTTAATGCAACGTTCGATTACAAACTTTGTTATCGATAAAAAGTGATTGCCATTCTTTAGGTTTTTTCATTTATCTTCTTACTTTATAAATTAGGTTGCATTTTCTTTCCACTCAGTCCATTTAAGAACGTTTAATTAACGTTTTTAAAAGTCAATATAATTTCACGAAAATTTTACATTATTTATTCAAATGAGGTTTGATTTTTTTAGCTGATCAAAAGCAACTGTTCACTCGTTATACATGCAATAAACATAAAAGTTTGAATCCTATGTCTTTATATGTACCAACATATTTGCTTGTTGAGCAGCGCCGGGCAAACGTTGCGATTCCTCATAGCTTTCTTGGGCTGTAGCAGCTATGTTCAAAAATTGCAGTTAGATTTTCAAAGTACTAAATACTATATTAACGCTAGGAAGCATCCCGCAAAGCCTTTCCGGCTCATTTGGCCGGCAAATTTACTAACATGGTCAGATTGGCTTGGCGATGATCACCTGCTTATATGATTACGCTCCTGTAAACTCGCTTCTCGACACACTGATTCCACATTCAATATCGACAGTCATAGACCCGAACGTAAAAACGTCTAAGTACTTTATATTCGCCCAAGGCGGAGTATTCGATACCCGACATTATTTCTCCTTGTACTGTTATTCTCGCGTTTTGGTGTTAATATCTCAAAAATTGATAATTATTTTCCGTAAAAGTCCGTATATTGTCTAAACATCAAATGACGTGGTCCAAATTTATCAAACTTAATTCACTAAAAATGTTATTGATTTTTAGTTTTCGTCATGTAAAACTACAAGCTAGACTTTCTCGCCACGTAAAGGATATGAAAAAATATTAAAAATTGAAGCTTTTTCTAAAGCGCTTACTCTTCATAAGAAATCTGACATGGAATGGGGTCAAAAAAGTTAATCCATCTGATTCAAATCTGATCTTAATTTAATTTTTATGCCAAATTACTATTGTGAACAAATTTTCATCATAAAACAGTAACAACCAGGTATTTTTGGTATACTAGAGTTAAATTTCAAGAGAATCTTTATATGCGATATTATCCACGCGGTCCAAATTCGATACGTTTGATTTTTTTGTTAATTTACTTTTATGAACGAATTTTCACCACAAAATAATGAAAATTGGACTTTTCTACCATATAAAAATTCAGTTTTTATAAGAACTTTTACATGAGAGGGAGTTCAAGTTTCCTGAGTCGATCCAAATTTTTTTGTTTTTTTTTACACAGCGATTTTTATCGAAAAATCTTGAAAATTGCAAATATTTCGATAGAAAGGCGTTTCGAAATAAGGCGTTCTATGTGGAGTAATTGAAAAAGTGGATCGATCCAAACGATTTTCAGCAACTTTCGTCATTGGGTCAAAGCACGTCAGTAAACCAAGTTCCATTAAAATCTATTAAAAATTGCGACTTATAGATTGAACACAATAATACATGGACAGACGGGCAAGCAAGCTTAAAGTATAATAAAAATTGGGTCCATGTTAAGCCCTTTTCTTATATACATCCGCAGCAATTGAATGTACCTTTGTACTATAGGTTAGGTGTCAACGGGGTATATTTAGCGTCGAGTTAATTCAATGTCGACAGCGATGATGATTATTCCTGCAATGATGATTATTTATGGAAAGGTTTATTTTTTCTCTAAAAATATTATTATATCGCTTATATATTTGATAATTTCGTATTAGAATAAATTGATGAAAGACTTTTTGCAAAAATTTTGCCTTTGAAGTTAGAGTTTATTTATTTATGTATTATATAATAAAATAACAAGAAAACCGAGAAATTAGTTTTAAAAAAGTATTAAAGATTATTTAGTATTTATGCATATCAGTATATAGTTTTTAATATGATCTTTAAACAATATTCAGATATAGATGCATATATAATGATAGATATAATAACAAATATTTCAAACTCCTACGCTCACAATATGTTAAATTAGAAAGAGTAAAAACGTAAAAAAAGAAAAGAAAGGAGATAAATCAATTATTTTAAACAAAACGCATTTTGTAGTTAGTAATAGCAGTATGTATGTATGTATGTATGTATGTATCTTTGTTATGCATATGTATATTAGGCACAAAAAAGGGGAAAATTATTTATTCTAAAATATGTTGTAAGTGATTTACACCGACTCGGCGACACTGTTCACCATTGCTGTCAACTCGTAGTTGATGGATATCTTTGTTGGATGTTTTTCTTTCCCGTTCTTTTGTTTCTTTTTTTTTCTTGCAGTTTGAAGTTTATTTTCTTTTTTTTTTTCGAATTATTTCTATTGACAATTACGAAAACGACGATAAACGCTTTGCACGTAAACAAAGACACATTTCCAATCGGGACGTTTCATTGCAACCATATCTTCTACATCCAGTAGTGGTGCAATGCCGGCCTTCTCGCTACAATATAAAAATAAATAGAAAAATTGAATAAATAAAAAAATTAGAAAAAGAAATGCGTATGACAAGTAAAGGAAGTGATCAAACGCAAACTTGATCACTTCCTTTGTCTTAAGGCAATGACATGGCTTTCATTGGCATTTTAAATTAAGAATATATTGCTCTTTAAGAAGCATGAACCGTAACAATAGAGTGCAACATGCTACACAGTGGTACAATTATTTGATTTTTTTCCTTTTTAAAATTAACTTCAGAAGGAACTACACTGTGTTTTCTGTGTTGTTGTTCTTGTTCTCATTCTGTTCGACTTGGATATTTTGGTGAAGTTTGATCTAAGCGTAGTAAACTTAATTTGCCGGTGAAAGATTTTATTATTTTTTTAGTGCGCTTCAAATTGGGCCCTGTCGTCATGAAAGTTTTGCTTTCATGAAAGCCCCCTATAAAGCGGATGTATGCAATATCCGGAGCGACTTGAGACAGACCCATCTTTTATTACACTAATCAATTCAGAACTACTTTCTGTCCGTCTGTCAATTTTGTTTTCTTATGATCCAACCTATGGCTCATAATTTTTGAGATAGTTTGATGAAATTTTGCATATCGTCATGTCTGTCCGTCTGTGTTGTTCTTGTTTTTTTTTCAAAGTAAGACCTGGATATTTTGGTGAAGTTCGATAGGCTAAGGACAAATGGGTTTGGAAATGGTTTAGATCGAATCACTGTTTCGACGATTTTCGTCTTATTTTGAAAAATCGTTACATCAATGATCGTATTACGCGAACTGGTGTAGGATACTTAACGAGGGGCCGTATTCTACTATAACTTTTTTTTACTTTCGTTTAATAAGTTTCGTTTGTTTACTGCATCAATCATAGACTTTTGATGAAATTCCCGAGATTGCTGTTAGAGAAACTTTCAGTGTGTTATAGTTAAACAATAGATTACGGCAAACTAATTCACCCAACAAAACTCGAATGAACATTAGAAAAACATGGAAAAACCAAGAAGAGGAAGAAGTCCTTACGAAATGTCGAACATATGTATTTTTTTTAATAAAATAATTTAAATGTCAATTCATTTTGCAAAATCTTTTATATATATGTATATATACTTACTCGGCAACGGTGAAAGCTAGTTCGAAATTCTTTCTCCTATTTTGTGGTGTTAGTTGGTTATAGTCAAAGGCGCCTGGCAGAAAATGATGTATAAGGGCACAAAATGCTAAACCGTCGGACCAGCTCGTACTAAAGTTAGTTATTTGAACGTTCTGAAAACATTACATATAGAAAAAATAACATCAATTATGAATTTCATTATATTCATGTGAATCGATAGAATAAAATTTCCTACATACATAATCTATTTATTATATCATGCAATAAAAATAAAGTATTTATAAGCATTTAAGTAGAGATTGAAGTGAGTTTTTTTACTTTTTTTTTTTTTTTTTTAAATAGGTATAATCTCAACTCCGATCGTCAAGTATATTAAAAAAAAAAAAAAAAATTAATTATTAAAAATAAACACCGAACGAAGCTTAAGCTTTTTAAATTAAATACAACAACAATATGTACAGCAGATAATAAAATATGTAAACATTAGAAAATATTGGTAAAAAAAAAAAAAACAAAAAAAACAAAATAAATAAATAAAAAAGCCTTTAGCCATTATTTACGATTATTTATAGATAAAGTAAAATTGTTTGGTATTTTAGTATAAATGCATTAAATAAATAAATAGTTTTTAGTAATTTGATATTTTATTATATTCATTAAATTAAATTTATTTATTTATTTATTTATACTGTTTTTTTTTTTTTTTTTTTTTTTGAAACAATAACAACAAATCGTTTTTATCATATTATCATCATCATTATCATAATGTTTATAAGAATAGCAAACAGCATGATTTTGTTTGATTTTTCATTACTTTTTATTTTAGGATACCTCATATTCCATTGTTTTTGACTGACACCACTGCAAAAGTTGCTCCTTAACCGTAGCAGCCCTTGCATTTAGAGCTGGATCAGTAAATTGAAATATCGGTGCATTATTACCAACCGTTGTTGTAGGCGAGACTGTACTTTCACCCCGTTGTTGTTGTTGCTGTTTGTTGTTTTTGTTGTTTATTGTTGAATATCTGAACAACACAAACGTTCATTGACAATTTTGAACACTCTTTCAAACGTTATCATCATCACTTAGTTAAAGATTTTGTGGTTAAGTCTCTACTACGAGTTTTTTGTTAAACATTTATTTAATATTTTGTATATATATATATATATATATATGTATATATATATATATATATGTATATGTACAATATATTTAACTACACTTTGTTTGGAAAAATCACTAACATATATATGTATATATTAAGGAAAATCAGTATTTAAGAGAGATTGTAACGACAATAAATCATGACTTTCATGTTGTACTTCGCGCGTCATAACAATACATTTGCAATTCTTCACTTTTATCGTTCTACTTATTTGAATAGTCTTAAAAAAGCTGTTCTGTTTAAAGTTGGTATATAGATTTGTGAGAGATGTTGTGATTTCTGAAATGAAAACGCCATGGCCATATATACCGGGAATGGATAAAATAATATGAACATACTACGTGTACGCAATATTTATTCATTTGTTAATATAAGATATCCGGCCAGCATTTGTCAGTAGAGCAGATGCAATTGTTCACCTAATTGATTCGTAGAGTGATGAGTAAGTTTCAAACAAATGTTATCGTACGTGAGGGAAATTTGCTTCTAAAACCCCCTCTCCTCTAAAACTCTGCAGAATGGTGTAATTATGTAAAAGTCCGGCGATTGTACTGGCCAGGGAATATATTTGATAAAATTCCGATAACTTCTCCAATCAGATATAAATCGTGTTGGTTTCGTGTTGGTATATATATATGGGCGCACTATTATCTTCGAACTTGGCAATGTTTACCAGCAATATCCTAATTACAATAAGATTTTTATCATTGCGAATGTCGACATATGCATTGGTCCACTTTCGAAATCTGAAAGCTTAGACATTTCGATTTCGATCGCTTGTTTTAATCGTTACAACCGTGGCCGAATACAGAGTGCATTATAACACTGGAGCTAAGTAACTTACAAGACTGGACATATAAATTGCATAAAACATACGCTTCGCGTCATTTATCTAGGAAGCAGTGCTGCCAACAGGCAAAAACAGCGAATGCTATATTGCCGAGCGTTCATATTACTTTGTGCGTATGGCCTCCTTCTGGGCGTTGCAAGCGTTTTCACAAAATGAATACACTCCTCATCCGTCGGTGATGGGTATAGTAAATAGTAAAATGCCCATAACACGAATCCTTTTAAATTATGAGCGTTTCTATGAAAAGCCGCTTAATGCGCTTCGCAACGGGTCATTCGTTTTTAATTAAGTGCATCTAGAAGATGCAATTGCTGGCTATGAGATTGACATAAACATGCTGCTCACATTTTCCTATAGTAACACTACAGTAATAGAAGTTGTTGAATTTAAAAAGTAAAAAGCCTAGGTTTGGGAGCATGGCGCCATGCTTTTCGTTATACCGGAAGGTATCCTTTCTTTTATGATTGGGAATCGTAGTGCAGCGTTTGTAATAGATGTGTCCTGTTATTAAGGCATTAAAGTGGCAACGGGTTTTCTATTGAAATGATATGATAAAAGCACAACTACAATCGATGTGAAAGTACACAAACAACTCTTACCTATATTTAAAAAGGAATTATTTAAAAACGAAAAAGAAATTTTTGTCGTCTATGTCAAACAAAAATGTAATTGTTATGCTGTACGAGTACTACAATATTTCAAGTATATTAAATATTGCACATTAGAAAGCGTTTATCATCACTTACAAAAGGCACCTAACCCTAAAAAGTGTAGTTTGAAATTTAATTTAATATATTTACTCTTTAAATCTCAGTTATCTTAACATCATTGCAAATTAGTTGTAGTTATAATAAAATACATTATATAATAAAAGTTAAAAAAAAAAAAACAAGAAGAACAAGAAAAAACCAACACCAACCATCTCCTTATCTACAATCGTTTATCTTAAGCGTTTTTTGTTCCTGGTGCAAAATGTGTTGTGAAAAATTATATTCTTTTTCAAATATTCAATGTATTTTATATACCATTAGCGCTACCAAGTGTATGGTTCTTCTTTTACACCACATATATATAGAATATAAAATATACAATATATACAATAATTTCACATATTATATATATATGTACACATGAATAAATGAATTAAAAATATTCTTACTTTACAGTTTGCTGCTGTGAGTTTTGTGTATCGAGTTGTTTGAATTTAGCAAATGGTGACAAAGGCTTAACCGCGGTCCCGGCAACAGTACGTGTTGTAACTAAAAATTATATAAAATTTCACTATTATAATACAAAGTTAACTTTTAATTAAACACCCTACATAAATTCCTCCCGTCATAAAAGCTTATATCCCAACTTATTCCCCCGTCTGGGCTGGAGGGGAACAAAAAACAAAATAAGAAAGAAAAAAAATGTGAACGTGAACGTGAACGTGCCATGATCCAAATACAAATTCTGCTGAAATTAAATTTCTTTCGCGAAATAGTGAATCCGACAACTATTTTAGGAGAAGAGGTCCGAGAAATCAACTCGTGTGTTCCCCATCGAGCAAGATAAATTTATGAGACATGTCACTATTTTGTAACAATTTTCATCATAAAATATTAGTAATTAGACTTTGTTGCCATCCGAAGGGCTATTACATCCTACAGCACTTGTGGTACATGAGTATATTAAGTTTGCGTGGATGAAGGACTTGAGATAGACTCACTCACTTTTTATTATATCGATCGGATTCAAGATCACTTTTTGAATTAATTCAAACTTTTCTGTCCGTCTTGTATGCTTATGTTCAACCTAAGAGCCACAATTTTTTGTAAATATTTAGAGGAAAGTTAGTATATCGTCATGGCCGTCCGTTTTTTGCCTTATGTTCAACCTATTGAACCTATAGATCGTAATATATTGAGATATCTTGATGAAATTCGGTAGATCGTTATCTTTGTCCATCTGTCCGTCTCGTTTTCTTAGGCTCGGCCTGCAGGTCGCAACTTTTGAGATATTTCGATGAAATTTGTTAGACCGCCCTGCCTGTCCCACTTGTTTTCTTACGTTCAACTCACACGCCACAATATAAATGATTGCACATTTTACTCCACGCAATTGGGCGCATTGTATTTGATCTATTCGTAAAAATGATTCAATTCAATCCAGTCTCCATAGAATACGTTTGTGGACGAAAGTTCACTTCATATGTTACGTCAATGTATCGCGAAAAATGATGAACTATAACTAAACTATATAACACAGGGATATATGCAAAAAATAAAATCAGCCGGTCAAAAGGTCTGACAGGCCTAACTCGATTCCATAAACTTGTTGTGAGCAGTACAATCTTAAAGGTAACCGCACATAATAAGTCTTTTCGCGTTTTACATGCGTATGCACAAATTCGCGAATACACGATTATTTCTAACGGTATATAGGGAATAAACAAAAACATCTCTTAATAACTGATGAGTGTAAATGGTTCTGTTTTTTTTTTTTTTTTAATTTACTTACCTTTTGTTGTACTTGTTACAACCGTACCATCATCTGTTGTGCCTGTTATTGTCTCAGCAGTTGTAGATGTAGTTGCCTGTTGTTGTTGTTGTTGCTGATGTTTTTCTTCTATATATAGTAAATAGAATAAATGTGTTTTAATTCTGTCTGTCTGATCTTTTTAAATAATATTATAAATGAAGGAAGCAGACAATACGGAAGGAAACATACGGGTCATGCATAAATTTTATGAAAATAATATGTATTTACAGGAAATTAAAAATAATTATTCTCTTACTGGGTTTTACGTTCTTCAAATCGTTTCATTATATATGCGCATAATACAATAATAAAAGAAATGAACAAAGACTACAAATATATTTACAAAAATATTTTATTCTTAGAACAAAACGCTACCATTGCATCGATTTTAATATTGAATTTATTTAAAATATGAACGCACAAACACACGCATATGTATATGTGGATGCACGAACGCACACACACACACACACGCACAGATAACATATTAATGATATATACAAGGGCAGGATGAGAAAAGTTCAAACGGTATTGCAAAAGTTATTGAATTATTGTCACTGATATCTCGTTTCTATCTAATTACGCTACACTAAAGCAGACTACATGTCAAACTTATTTGGTTCATTAATAAGATGACTCTTGTTTTATGCAAATTTTCTTCTTTTTTTTTTTTGGTTCTCAAAGAAACCAAACTATCGTCTCTCGGAGAAATTTTTCCAAAATTGACGAATGACTTTTTGTCACTTTACCCGCGAAGATCATCGATCGATCGAATGAATAGACGCTAGCAAATTGCCACCGTAGAAAAAAGTAGCGAAAAAATTCTCAAAACCATATTCAATTCAATATGGCTTCGAAGCGTGTCCTCATCATTCACATTTAACCTTAGAAAAAGTATGCATTTGTTGAAGGCGGTGAGTAAAAGAAAAAAAAAAAAAAAAAAAAGGAAAAATAATAATAATAATAGTGAACAAAGGCATAATGGGATTTTTCGAAAAAGTACCGTTAAGTGCGTGCGCCGATGAAACGACGATAGAAGCGAAGCGGCAGCCAGTCAACACAACTTACTTCTGATGTCACACGAAAGCACGAAAGACTTTCAATAAAAATCTTATTTGAAATCATATTTAAAAAGAACAAAGAGAAGAATAACGAACGATGTTACTTCTTATATCCCCAAATAAATTTATGGGCAGATATGCAGACCAAAGTACGTCATAGGCGTCAAAAACAATTCATCCTACACCACAGATAATATAACCAACCATCTAGTCACTGAAAAAAAAAAAAAAAACATTGAATAAAAAGATCGTGTCTTTGTTGCTGGCCATCATAACAAAAAACATTCTGCACCTCCTCCTCCTCCTCCTCCTCCCAGCACTTGACTGAGGACGCATTTTGTATGAATTTGCAAACTTAAACCGAATACCAATTGCATTGTATTGCATATGTGAATTGATTTTGAATTCTCTTCAAGGAAAAAACAAAAAGATGCTTCGCAATTGCTCTGTAGGCAGGCAGGCAGCACAGCACGTAAGCGCGTTCTGCTTATGCGAAAACAAAATTAAATTTTATAGAATATTTTCGATTTTTTGCATATCAGAAGACGTCATAATTTTGTTTGACTTGCGATAATCGTACAATGTGCTTATGTGTGTTTAATGGAATATGCTATATCGGCGTGTATCATATTTTTGTCCGCTCAACAATAAAGTCTGCTTTTCTGGCATAGATATATATATATATATATATATATATATATATACATTTTATTTATGAATTTTACGCTACACCACTTTTTGTACAAGGGTATATTAAGTTTCTGCAGGTGTATGCAACGCTCAAGAAGGGCTTGAAATAGACCGATCTCTTTTTTGTTATGCCGATCATTCTGAATTCACTTTCTAAACTAGTTTGAATTTGTCTGTCCGTCTGTCCTTCTTGTGTTCTTGTGCTCAATCTACGCAACTTCTGCGATAGTTTGACGAAATTTGTTACAGCACCATGTCTGTCTCTCCGTCCATCCTGTTTTCTTGTGTTCAATTTGCAGCAATTTGGTATAACGACATGCTTTGACCCAAGAAGGAAAATTATTGGATCGGATTGGATTACTTTTTTGACCATTTCTCTTTATAAAACCCCTTGTTTTGAAAAGTCATTATGTGCATTATGTGTATTAAGCGAAGTGGTGTAGGATACTTAATGGTGGGCTGTAGCCCACTATAGCGTTTTTTAGTTATATATTTAAAAAATCTTCTATTAAGGAGAGAACTATTTAGATAAAAATTGTAATTTTCTTAATAATTAAGTTAAGTATGAAACGTTTGATTCGTATATATTCATGCAAATGGTTGTATATATACATATCTGTATGCATAAATATAAAAATAAAATTTTATTTAAAATAAATGAAATTGAATATTTAAAAAGTCACACCAAATTCATATATAACGTGATTATGGTTTTGTTTCACATGCCAGGAAGAATAAGTGTAGACTTGTGTCCCATTACATAATTTAATTGGAAAAACGAAACAGAACGTTATTCTGTCATATTATGAATATTTGCATAGTTAACTGCTTAAACTAAATGCTTATACGGGACTTAGTTAATTAAAAATTTCTCAATATTGGCCTGCGCAAGTCAAAATAATCGATGCACTTTATGCATTTCATTAAGTGATTAGAGCGCATTGTAAATTTTGAAAAATAAAAAAAAAGTATTTTTTTCCCTTTTACTTAGTAAATACTTTGAAATGTTCATTAAAAATTTTTATACCCTACACCGCTTGCGGTACAGGATCTGGCGAACGTATATAACACGCAGAAGGGCTTAAGATAAATCCAACTTTTATTATACCGAGAATGATTCTGAATCGATCTAAGCCTGTCTGTTCACCTGTCTGTCCGTCCGTGCGATGACTGTCCATGTAAACTTGTGGTCAAGCTAGAGGTCGCAAATGTTAGGGAGTTTTTTAAATGAAATTTGTTAGGCTGAAGTGTTTTGCCTCAAGGGCAGACGCTATCGGAAATACTTTGGATCGATCCACTTTCTCAATCACCCTATTTTGATAAGTCATTATATCGGATTATTTGCAATTTTAAGTAATAGTATTTCGGCATTCTAAATTGGGTGTGAAAACTTTGGATCGGTTTGGCAATTTTCTCAACCACCACTTATATAACCGTTCCGACTAAAACTGAATCTTTATATAGGCAAAAGGTATAATTTTCAACACTTCGTTGTGAAAATTAGTTCATAATAGTAAATTGGCATAGAAACCGCGCTTACCGAATTTGGATCATGTAGATCTATTTTCTAGATACTAACACAATTTAATGATTCCTCCAATATTACGGCTTTCATGAAAACTATGTCTTCGTATGAAAATGGTGGGTGTCGTGTCTATGGTAAATATACCTCAGTCCGCAAACATGAAGATATTGCCAACAAATTTGCGAAAGAATTTGAAAATGATCCGAATCGGTCATAGGATATGCCTACAACGTCGATACGTCTATACAAAAAAAAAAACTGTATCATATAAATTTTCACTTTTATTCTGAAAATACAAAAGAAAATCAACCACGCCCATTTAATATTATAGAATAATTAAGTTAAGTTGCGTTAGTTTTCTTTATTCAGTGATACGCATAAAAGATTGGTTCAACCCATCCGTGGTTCCTATGTCTATCTATCTATCCACATCATTTTCAATTAATGTGTTCATGAAATTTGGTACTTTGCCACGTTTCGCTCAAGGATAAACGCCATCAAAAATGAATTTGATCGCACGCAACTTTGCATAGAATGCCCGATTCCGTTCCGGAAATTTCTATGCCAAGGATGCACCTCGCAATCCCTGAAATGCACTAAACATCAATCACATGACATTTTGGAATCACTTGAAAATTGTAGTCTACAAAAAGGATCCCGAAACCACGGGAAAAGGCGAGAAGACTTTTCAATAAGGCCCACTATATAAATTCTAGATTGATGTAAAAGCTCCATCATAGTTGACTAATTGCAAGCAACTTTGCTTGTCAAACTAAGGCATGGAGTTGAAATGCGCCATAGCTGTAAGAGGACCCTTTTCCATCACACTCCATCAGTTAGCTGCGCGAAGTGTAGAACAACTAAAGTCCATTTAAGACATTGCATGTGGTCGGAGCGGCACAAAGGAAAATTCAAGCATCCGGTACTTGCAAGAAGTTATCTGACAGGTCAGGAAGTGAATTTGTGAAATGTTCTGACCTGCTAAAGCTGATTTATCAGAGATTTTAGACTCAATGGGTTGGTGACTAAAGGGAACTCGGCCCGTTCCTCTATTTAGTTGCTGGAAAACATGTCAAACATGTTCAAACTGAAATGTTTTGTTTACCTATATGTCCGTTGTAAGTCCTTTCTTGCATAATATAAGGGCAACTACGTTATTTCCGGAGAATAAACAAACGAGGAAACTGCTTTTTTTCTTCTTTTGCGGGCGAAGAGCGCCCTTTGTATCGAATTGAAACGATATTAGGTCTTATAGCTTCAATTTTTTAATAATTATTGTTATCAGATCAATAGTGCATCAATCAATCAATAAAATATGTCCAATTCATACTTCATCGTCTTTTTTGTCTTGTCTTTTTGTTTTTCTTTTCAAAATTTGATTTTGTAAAACATCGAAGAATGTAAGAATGACATATGAAGAAGAATGAAATTTAAGAATTCGAATGTGACCGAGAAACAGGTAGAACGAGATTAATGGACATTCAATTCTCTTCTCATTAAATGCAGATTTTAAACATGGCACAGACATTGACTTTATTCCAATGTACGACTTGGATCCCTGCAACTGTTTCCTGGAATGACTCATGAAAGGATAGAATTTCGCCACGATTAGGGAGATAAAGGCCGCATCGCTGGAAGGGCTCAAATCAGAATACGCTGGAAAAACGCATATCAAAAGTGGTTTGAGCAATGAAAAAAGCTCTAGCACAAGTGAACAAAATAAATATTTTTCGAGAAAAAAAAATTCATTTTTTTTTTTGTTTTTTTGAACAAATCTCTCTATAAGTGTAAAATTTGTTACATAATAATACTCAGATGTTCAAATACTGCTCGCCTCCTTGTAAATTTATCGATTGCGTATGTCTGTCTTTTTTTGATCTTAAATTCACTTTCAATAGATTTAGAAGACGATCTTACAACATTACAACACTGGGACGAAATAACATTAATGAGGAAGTGAAAGAAAGGCATGTGCAATATGTGTCAGTTTAACGCCAGGCAATTTAAAATTCGGTAAATGCTTTATATTAATGCATATCAAATAAAAAAAACAAAAAAAAAAAAAATGAGTATTGGTTATAGTCTTTTGGACACAGGGGCTAAGGATATTGAATTTCATTCAATTTGAAAGCACAAGAACGCACTGAGAAGCATGAATGAATGATCAAAATGTAAAATCAAATTTGTTTTTTTTTTTTTTATTTTTTTTTTTATTTTTTCATCAACTCACGATATATGCATGTACGTATGTATATTAAAAACGTTGTTGTTTTTTCATAGAATTTTTGTTCATTTTTTAAATCCAAAATCGAGCGTTGAAAGTGCCAGCGACAATAAAATTGTAATATATTTATGATCGTAATTGTTGAACTTTTATGCTCTGTTAAGTGAACAGTCATTCACTCTGCATGGCTAGTTATCTGCTTTAAAAATTGTCTGATGTCCGAGGGGCAATTGTATGAATTAAACAAAAATGTGCTAAATGTTTATGTAAATGTGTGCGTATAATAAATTTTTTTCCCTTCTAACGTTCTATTGTTTGGTTGGAATGTCCAGACATTATTACATTATTATTATTATTAATGAGTTCTGAAATTGAACGGCTTTTCATGAGCCCATAATCAGCTGCTCAAAGGCATCCTCTACATTACTTTCATCTAGCAAATTAAGATTTGCGATATGCGGCATTGTAGCGCTACGGGATAATGCACCGCCACCACTACATCCAATAGGAAAAGCGGTTGATGAGCTTGCTACATATGACTTCCGATTGGCAGTTAATTTTTCATTCGCCTTATTTCGATTTACAGATGACTTTCGCATTTGCACTGCCTGCGTCTCTTGGTTAGCATGGTTGGTCACTTGATAGGTGGGAGATTTTTGACCTGAAAAATAGGCCGCAACTGTTTTCTGTTTCTCCCTAATTTCAGCCTTATTAATACCGGCTTCGAACATTTTCGGCGCCGCTAAATTGTGTCCCGACTTGCTACGTTTCAATTCATTCGATTCGATTGTCGAGATGCTTTTAAATGTGGCCGACGTCTCGTTGCAATGAGCATTTGATAATTCCGGTATCTGATTCCATGAATCGCACTTCCTTAACTTAATTGATCTCAAATGATTGTTCGGTATAATGTTGTCGTTATCTTGCCGTTTTGACATTAAAGTAAAGTTGTAAACATTATTGTAAACTATATTACGCGGTATAAAATCTTCTGGCATAGTTTCTGAACAGTTCTGATTTTGTTCAATTTTGTTATGTGGCTCTTGTGACTTTTTATAAATGTACTTACTCGTTGACGTATTAGTGGCTGTGCTCGGGGATTTGATACTATTATTGTACGGATTTTGATATGCGTTAGGCATATAGTGGTGTCTTTGTGGAGGACCGAATTTCTTGAGGATTACTTGACTATCATCTTTTGGCAGTGATGATTTCACGATATCAGGGGTATCGGGAGCCGTTGCGGAAATGTATACCGATCTCTGATCTGATTGAGGCTCGGTGTGCGTCATAATTATGCGATCATTATATATATTTGAGCTTTTATGTTCCTGCCCTTTTTGCAGTTCAGCAGGTATATTGGACTTAGTGAAGTGAGATAAGTGATTGGCGAGAACTGGTTGGACCGATTGATAAGGGATTTTTGATTGATTGACCGTTGATGTGGCCGTATAATGTGGTGTTGCCCTCTTCAATTGAGATTGCGATGTATTCAAAGAATTTTCATAATTAATGATTTGCTGTTTGTCGCTCTGTTTCACATTCTTGAGCATATCACCGTTATCTCTAAACGTTTTATTCTCATCGATAATGGACGATTTCGAAACCCAACTAGTATTTGGTGCAGAAACATTATTGTATACTACGTAGGACGTGTCGCAATTCACATCAGATGTTAAAGAAGATTTATCCGTTTGATTCCCTTGTTCATACCGATAAGAAATGCTTGGCCCCGTCCGACTAACCATGCTCTGCGGTTCGAACGAATCCATGGTCTGCCCAGACGTAGATGTTAACTTTGATATATGTTGATCGTGATGAAGCGAAGAATTCCTGTTATCCTCGGAATTAACACCGTTCGCCTCCGAGTAAGCGGAATCATCGTCCTGATGAATTTCCACTTTTGGTGAAAATACAATACCTTTAAATTGCTTTGACTCGCCGTTACTTTTGGCGATGTTTTTCATAGTAGTTAGGAGATTTTTAGCAGAATCAGAATTCTTATTAAACATCTCTTCATCGTTCCTATAAGCGGTTCGTTTCCCGATCGTGACAGCTGTCTGACATTGCGGTTTCCCCATCACTTTAGATATAGCATGATATTCGGTCAAATGAGTACTTGTCCTTGGGTTATCTGACGTTTGAACGTTATGCGTCAATTCGTTGTTTTGCAAGGATTTACTCGCACGACTATTCACGTTTAAGTCTGCGGCAGTCATATCCGGGCAATATAAAGGATTGTCAAGGGTTAAAATCAATGGAATAGCTTTCGGATTAGTAAGGGAGTCTTCACGAAATCGATTCAAAGTGTCACTCATATCGTTTTCTACAGCAGCCGATAAACATGGTTGACTAGCATAAGTGTTCGTTGAAAGACTGCCATAAGGAAGAGAAATATTTTTTGTAGCTGGCATACTAGAAAAATTGGATACATTTTGCTGTATATTTTGTAACGATGGTATATGTTGACCGGCAAATGGGTCGCCAGTATTAGGCAAAGATGGTCGTTTCTTCTTTTCGTCAAGTTGCAATTTATTCAAATTCGATGAACGCAAAGAATTGTGCCTTTGTATTTGGGAAACGCCATCGTTTATTGATCGTTCCTCTAACATGTTTCGCTTCGCATAAAAATCTGGATTCGAGTAGACAATTTTAGGGGCGTTAAATTCTAATGATAGCGGAGGCGAAAACGTACTATAATTCTCTGATCGCGGTGGTGGAGATTTCCATGTATTCACATTACCATTGGTAGTCAACTGCGGGTCAGGGTTGTAAGTTGATGTCTTTTTGAACTCTGTGCTGTCCACATGCTTAAATCCAGAGTTCGGTGCATGTTTAAATTGATTAATCATTGCAATCGGTTTGAGAACGGGATGCATAGCATCCCTTTCTCGGCTCTGCATATCCAATCGTTTTTGATCGAGTCTTCTTCTAGTTTCTGCGAAAATTGGTTGTGTTTGGTTAATCTCATGATTACTCGTATATTTATTCCAATGATTTTTATTAGACACATGTCCAGGGGCTTGCGGGGGTTTATTGGCCGTGGCAGTAGCGGTTGCACCTACTTCAAAAGTGTGTTTTAATGAACCAAATTTATTGCTCCAATTGGACACCGGACGGGAACTATTCCAACTCAAGCTTGGCCGATCGCTGTGTTTATTAATAAATGATAGAAATTTGCGATCATTTTCAGTTTTTGGCTCAAAAGGTGGTACGACATTGCCTACAGGTTTCTTAATATCCACCTGTATAGTACGCTTAAGGCCAATAAATCTACTTTTGTCATCGTCCTCGGAGTCATAGTATTCCCCGTTTGAATGTTTTTTCACCTTTGGTATGTCGATTGTATTTGCACGTTTCATTAAATATTTTTTGTTTGAAAAGCGCACAGATTTCACAGGTGAATTTTCATAAGAGTTCATCTCTTGACTATCCTCCGGAGGCCAAGATGTCTGTTTAACAACTCTTTCCGAACGATTTTTATTTATATTAAGTAAATAATTGCCCGAAATCGGTTGCGACGTCTCAGATGTATTCGCTGCTGGATAAGTATACAATTTATTATGATTTATCCAATTTGGTTTGGGAGCATTCTCAACGTTGTTCGTTTTGCATTGAGATAAAATTGAATAATTCGTTGCGTTTTGCTCATTCATTGCACCATCGTAAGATAGTTTTCTAGGAGCCGAGAAGCACTGATATTGTGCGTCAGTACTAACGTCGATACCAGGTGAGAAACTTTCCATTGTTTCCATATCGAGCATATAACGTCTAGCATCGGCCAATTCTTCGCGTGTTACACCAATTGTATGACGATTAGCACGGCCACGACGTTTACCTAGCCGATGCTTGTTGTTTGATCGATGACTGTCAGCCTCTGGTGAAGATGTCTCGCCGTACACGATTTTGTTAGCATCGTCTATTTCTGACATTGCGGCTGCGATTTCAGCTAACTTCTCGGGCGATTTAAGCGCCGCCTGTAGACGCGAGACTAAAGCCAATAATACTCTACGCTTTTCTGAGTCGACTGCTGTTATATCGCTACCGTCATTAAGGTAACGCTCAAGGCGCTTCAAAGCCGATGTGACATCGTCAATGATATTGGAATTATTTGTAATTTGCAAGTGATTGCATAATAAACGTAAATCCTCGCCACTTTCAGTTCCCGAATCTTCTTTTTGCGGTACACCTAATGTATGCAAAAGTACTGTATCGTCGCATTTTTGCGTGTCCTTACCTAAAAATGGCTTACTAAAAGCTGCGTTACAGTTAGTCGCTGCAAAAAATTTATTTTTTGCGTAACTCATACTGGAAGAAGATGCACAGTCCACACTATTGATATCTACTGTATTTTGTATTGGTTCTTTAATTCCCGCTTTTATCTCTACTTCCTTAACAGTATCAATTATTTTTGGATCATCATTATTATCATTAAATAATTTAACTAAATTAATTCTATCGTGTATTTGTTCAGAACGTTGCTCACTTTTCAAGTCTATTGTCGAAGTTTCCTTTTTTTTATTATCAGCCGAGCTTTCTTCAATCACTTTCGCCGATTCGCTGGCACTCGTTTCGTCTTCTTCCTCTTCTTCTTCTTCTTCTTGAACGACGACTTTTTTTTCAACTTCACTTTCAGACAATTTGTCTGATTGAGAATTTTTTTCTATATACCAAAAACAAAAACAAAAACCAATTAGAAGAAAGATGAAAAATAGTATGGGTTAGTATGTATGTGAAATAAAAAATTCAATATGAACATTTTAACAAATAACACCAACACAATGACGATTACTTGAATTTTTATTTTCACAGAATAACAAGTCCCGTTACGGGCATCTTGAGCTTAATCGTTCGAGCGAACAAAAAACAGACCGACAATTGACGTCGAATTAAATGAAACGAAAGGGTAAATGAAAATATATGAGTTTAAAAAAAAGTTATAGTAAAAAAAAAAAAAAAAAAAAAAAAAAAAAAAAAAATATGAAAGAACAGAAATAAAAGATATGAAGAAAGATCACAGAAACTCACAGAATTGCTTTAAACGACACAGACATTTATAATATATATATATATATGTCAACATCTAATCGTTTAAATACCTATTTATTTGTTCGCGTACAATTGATACATTTACAAAATATAATGACTTAACCTCACATCTCTCTCAAGGTCAAGTTACTTGATGCAACTCTAACTTGAATCTACAATAAAAATATAAAAATACAAAAATAACAAACAAAACAAAAAAAAAAAAAAAAAATATTTAAAGAAGAAATCATTAAATATTTCGAAGCAAAAATTGTTCTATAAATTATTGGAATACTTTCGTGATTTTTCAAATTTCGCATTGTGCATGACGGATAGCCTTGATATTATATAATAATATATATATTACATATATTTAAATATATATATATATATATATATATATATATACAATACATATGACTCCCTTACCTCTTAAAGGGTAAAGTTTGCATTCATTATATATTAGGTTGTACGGAAATTTTTTCTGCTTTTTCCAGATTAAAATAACCCGTTTCAGGTAGCTAGACAGATAATTAGCATTAAAGCTATATATATATGTATATTGTTATGTAGAGCAGACTTATGTTTAGTTCGTAAGCAACCTTTCAAAATGTGAGACATGTAAGTAAGACGGGAATGATCAAAGTGAGTATTTAAGGTAAAAAGGCTGCGAAGGTACATAGAGAAATACGTGAGGGGTGTGGAAATAATGCTGCGACAGAATGCGTCTATCAAAATTGGTTTGAGAAATTTCTAAAATGAAAGCTTTATCACGTTCTTGTAGGCCAAATATCATTGAAATTTACGATTGAACCTGATCGACACATCACAATTCGCAAGATCGTCGAAAAATTTCATTCCATTCATCCAAAGCAATATGTTTTATTTTTTATACGTATAAGAAAAAAGATTTTATTTCATAGTGGGAAATCGCAAGAAATTTCCGGACTACCTAATATATATGTATATATATACATGGCTTTTTATCTGAAAAAATTGCTTTTCAAAATTAAATACATATAACATTACCTTCACGTTCAGCCATAAGTTCTCTTAGACGTGCACGTATTTTGCGACGTTCCTCATAGGTTTTCGCTTGATCCAACTGGAAATTTGAAAAAAATATATTAAAAATATACAAACAAACAAAATATCCATAAACTTACCAATTCTTTTAATATGTATTCGTCCCAAATCTCCTCTAAATCACAAGTTGTACGAGAAACTGATGACGAAGAGTTTCCAGTTTTAGTTTTCGTTTTGCGTATTATCTTAACCTAGAAAGAAAGAAAATGCCCAACAAAAACAAAAAAAAAAAATAAGTAAATAAATAAATAAATAATTAGTAATAACAATAGTCATAATAAAAACATAAAAGAATTGAGTCTTGTTCGCCTATAATAAATCGTTTCGCTCAATTTCATGCGTAGCAAATCAAGCTGAAAATATTTTTATATCCTACACCTACAGTTGTGGTTTGTGCGGATGTATGCTGCACTCGGATGGACTTGGAGATAGACTCATCTTGTATTATATCGATCGATTCAGAATCAAGATTTGCATCGATCTAAGCTTGTCTGCCCGTACGTCTATCCGTCCGTCTGTCCGTCTTTTTTGCTCATGTTGATGTCGCAACCGATAAAAAATATATTGTAATGAAATTTGGTATATCGACGTGTTTAGACCCAATTGAAAATTTTTCGAATTGAATCATCTTTTCGATTATTTCCCGGCATTAGATCTTATTTTGAAAAGTCGTTACATGACCAATCGTATTAAGCGCAGTAGTGGCGTAAGGTATTTAATGGCGGACCGCATACCACTGCAGTGTTTCCACTTGTTTAAAATAAACTATTTAAGATTTTTAAAATTTTTTACCTATAGCTTTATTTTTTTGTTCTTTGTTTTTTTTATTCAAAATTCTCTTTCTATATATTTACGCTTTGGCGTTCTTTTAAGGTTTTAAAGAGAGTACCATAAAAAAAAAAAAAAAAAAAAAAAAAAAACAGAACATACAAGCGGATAAACAAATAATGTACGCAGTGATTACATCTGTCCCATGGCGGTCGATGTTGATAAATCTCTCACTATTAATAATAATAATAATAATAATAATAATAATTTTGTTAATAATTCTCGTATAATCTTAAATCATCTATCAGCTCACATGTATATATATATATATATATATACCTATATATTTATAGAACTTTCAATAAATTAATTTTCTTTTTCCATTTTTGGTAATATCTAGCGTGGAAAAATAAATTTATTCTTTAGACGTATAGGATACATACTAAACAAACTAAACACGTGTCTATTTTTGGTTACACATTCTATATGAACATTGGCCGAGATGATCTCAAAGCACAACTACATATATGCATATATTATACGAAAACAGTGATGCAAAAAAAAAACTTCTCATTTATATATATACCTATATTTCTATATATATAATATTATTCATAAAAATTGACATTTTTTTTTTTTTTTTTGAAAAAAGTTATTATTGAAATTTCTTTTAAACTTCATCCCAAGTTAAATGTTCGCAAATTTGAAGGGAAGTTCATCTCCTATCATCGATAGCTGAAGGGTATATTGATGTTGTCAAGATGTTTACAACACTTAGAAGGAAACTCGAGAGATACCGTAAAGTGGTTTTATTTTTAATTAGAATGAAATTCTAAAACGATATAAGCATGTCCGTCTCTCCATCTCTTTATACAATGTCTGTGGTAAACATTCTCCTGATCGCAAAAATGAAGCTCAATCAACCTCAACTTTATCGAAGATATTACTTAAAGCACCCGGCTTCCGCAAATCCTAAGCTGGATATATATATGTTGCTCCAAACAAAAACTTATGGGTTTTTGTTTATCGCTCATAAATTATAATTTATAAGATTGATTGAAAGCTGAAATTTTCTTTATTTATTTTATAGAGGATCCTATTAATTATGCAAAAAAGAAAGAAAACGGAAGAAATCGTCCATGCCGATAAGTGATCATTCACTTTTTTTTCATTCTCCGTTTACTACTCATAAGGTAAACAAGAGCTATCAAGGAGAAGTTATTTGTCTGAAAATTTGTCGATTATTGGATTGATTGATTACTTCCATTTTTCTTTTCTTTTCTTTTTTTTTTTACTAATAGTTTTCATAGTCCTTGTACACATTTATGCTGGCTGCTGTGATTGATTACACGGTATTATCCGCTTGATGGTCGGGAGGCAATGCCTACCATTTTTAAATATAATGTGTAGCTGTCAATAAAAAGGTTACATATCAAGCTTCAGATTTTACAACGCAGTGCTTCAGTAATAAAGAACGGATAACAAGGCGTATGAGCATACGGATAAGATTAGGACTTGTATCGACGTATGGAAGAGTAAAAGAAAGAGAGACTAAATTTTCTTTTTCATTATTTTTATTGTTTTTCTAGAAAACCCTAATAAGCCTAATCTCAATTTTTCTAGTAATTACGGCCAACTTTTTAAGCCATTTAGTTAATCAATGTTTTCGCATCTGCTCTTTTCCGATATCGATTAGATATATATTAATTTTTATAAGCTATGACAAGTATTTCTGGACGCTTTAGAAATCTCAAATACAAAAAAATATTCATATATATTCATTTGTCAATTATGAATTTTTTATTATTATAAATTTTAACTGAGATAAGTCATACAAGTGTTTACTAGTATGACTTGCAATAATTCGTATAAACTTTTTCCCTACATTAAAATTCACTTATAAGCAAGTGAATTCTACTTTAAAGGGGAAAACTGAAAAACTATTGACCCTTGGTACAAAAGGAGAAAGGATTTCTGGTCAAAAATGCATAATACATACGAATTTCATATTATTCGTGAATTGTTGTATAAATCATATTTAATTGTAACATAATAGGAGCAGCAACTAATATACGATACGATATATTATATATGCAAGAATATGTTATCGAAATAAAATTTTTGTAAAATTAAAGAAAAACGGTGAAAAGAAAAGCAAGAAAACTTTCGATCTTTGAAAGATTCCACGATGGAAAACGTTAAACAGAACACAATTGTTTCGCTTAGGGCAGACAGTAAGTGCAAAGGTGCGTTTAATTGAAACAGTTGCCCTATATGAGAATTTCTTTTGCTATGTTAAGTTTGGAAATTCCAAGCTAACGATAACCATAATGCAGATGTTTTCCAATTTGTTTAATTAAAACAAATCTAGCATATAGTGATATCAAATTTGTCTCTGTTCATGCATTGGATTAGCTGTTTGTTCCCTATTGCTGAAATGCTCAGCATTGTAAAAAGACCGCGTTGAGAAAAATCAAGTTTGACATCTACTCCTTTGTATTGTTAGCTACAAACTAGATTTAAAAATGTAGGCATTAACCGCCGACAGTCACGCCGACCATTGGGCAAAATCCAGAGATTCATTATTCGTATCAGGCTGTGATGCAAAAGCCAATGTAAACGTTTACCGGGATCATCAGATTTACAATCTATAAGAAAAATTCGCTACCACTATTTCGTATAGTCAGCTACATGTGGTCTCGATCGACCCACTGACACACAACTATGCAGTTTTAGAAAAGATATTCCAGTTTCGATATACTGGTCCGACGAAGGTAGGTAGGAAGGACTCTTATTTTTATACCATACACCACAACTTGTAGTACATTAAGGGTAAACTAAGTTTTTGCGGACGTGCGTAACAACTAGAAGGGCTTGAGTCACTTCTCTTTTATTATACCGACCGCTTTAGAAAATGATTCTAAGCTTGTCTATGGGCAATTTTTTAAATATATTGATGAAATTTCGTACACTGAGATAGGCTGGCCCGCGTTATAATCGGTATATGATATATATAATATATCGCCTACAAATGTAAAAAGGAATTTGAAAATAATCCAAATCGGTCATGGAACACGCCTACAATGCCCACACGCCTATAATAAAAAAGTTGTGAACACTTTTGTTTTCCGAGTTTTTCGCTTCTTAACGATATAATACAACAAATACATCAACTAAACTTTTATTCTGAAAGTCCATTCAATCCAATAGAGAGTATGTATGAAAGAGAGACTAGTGACGGGTTTTAACTTTAGAGGCTTCGTGATTACAAAAGATTTTTTTCATTTTGATACAACAATTGTATAAAGATTTTCGTTGCTTCAAAGACGATTAGGAAATTCTCTAGATTTCAAATCTACTGGATCAGGTACATATAACATAAAAAGGTGCAAAGGAGAAAATGTTTTTTTTTTTTTCTACAATCTTTCTTGAAGTTTTCCTTGAAAGAATCATAAAGAAGATTCAAAAAAATATCGCTTATCCCGAATATGCTGCAAAATCGAGATAAAAGTTAGAAAAATGTGTTTTTCTCTTTTTTTGGCGCGGAAGAGGGGAGGGTTTGGTTGGTTTTCCTTGAGTAGACTTTTTCCCGCACTACTGTGCATATATAAATAAATTACATTTGTTAATTATTCATTTAGTCATACCAGAAATGGTGGGTAAACACTACAGCACTTACACATTTACACATATAGCTCTATATTGTGAATCTGTGAGTGACAACAATTGATTACAGATTGAATTAAAGGTAAAAATTGTTTTGTCTTTTCTTTCGAAGATGACGTAGCTGAAATTTTTTTTTTTTTCGCGATACTAACGGAAATATATAGATTGTGGTTAATGCATGCAGATGCGCAAATGTTACACAAACGTTTAATTAACAAAGTAAATTAAGGCGCTAACAAAAAGATAACATGATTAAATTTATTCTTGCCTTTGGCAGTGATGATCTTTTATTAGAATCTACAATATACTCAGTCGCTCCATAATAAATTTTGCGACTTTCAATAGTTTTTTGTTCTACGCTTGTAAGATATCAAAGTCAAAATCACGGACATTACACTATGCGAGAGAGAGAGTTGATTTTTTTGTTTTTTTTTTTTTTTTTTTGCTAAATTTAGAATATTTATATATACAGAAAATTAAAAAAAAAAAAAAAAAAATTATTTTTTACATTCTATTCACGTACATCTACGTGTGACAATCCTTCGCTCTGATTTTACTAAAAACAAATATGTGGAACTAATTTAGTACATACTTGTGCGTATATGCCTGCCTGCTTGCCTGCCTGCTTGCCTATATGATGTGCATTCATTCACATACTTTGTCTTTTTGTTACGCTCGCATCTATTTGGGTGCGTATTTATTTAGGAGCTTTTTATTTATTCATTTTATTTTTTTTTTCTTTTCTTGCATATTTTTAATGCGCTAAACTAAAGCTATTTAGATCGCTTCCCCAGACCATAAATTGCATTTAGACTTCATTTTAAATAATTTATTAATTGTATCGTAGCGTATAATACACTTTCGTTTTCAATTAAATTTTTTATTTTTATTTTTTTTTTTTTTATATCTATCAAATTATTAATTGTGATATTGGTTGAAAAGTGTTTGCTAAAAGAACATTATCAGCTTTGTAATGCTCCAAAGCTTATTATACATAACCGTTGTATAAGGAACCCAAGACCTTCATCGTCATTCATTACATTAAATAAGGTAATCGCTTTCTAATAGTTAGATGGAAAGAAAGATTTTTTTTTTTTTAAATGAAATGTTGATAAAATTGCAAATTTAAATCAACAATAATAGTGAACTAACTAAATTTGTTAGTTTATTTTCGAAAGAAAATTTGAATTTCGAATTCGGGCTGTGAACGTGAAATACGGAACTGTCAGAAAATCAAAACCATTTAATAAATTACGTAAGTAAAGAAATAATAAATTAAAAACTCTTAATGAAATTAAAAATAAATCAGGAATCAGGCAATGGTAAGTCGTCATTTCAAGGGGTTGTTCAATAGAAGCATGGGATCTTTCATTAGTCTCCGCCATCTTTTGAAACTTGGCCTCATAGTCTTTTCATTCTTGTCTTTCTCTAATCTAATTTTGAAGAATTACTCCAAATCAATAAGAATTTTTTAAAGTTACGATCGTTATAGTCAAGTTGCTAACTTGCGACCGTTATAGTCATCCTTATAAGCGGAAAGCAATTTTGTCAAACTTTATGCGTACAAGTATAAAAAGAGAAGCGATTTGCTGAGATAGTGCGTGAAAAAGATGCAGATTATGGCTCCAGGTTAAACGTCATTCTCGAGAACGTCTCTGATGCTATTTGGGCATATTTTTGGAATAAATTTGTTGCATAAGTTGCGAAGAAGATTGAAAACGATCTTCGATAGGAAAGCCTTTTAATAGGAAATCTTATATATATATATATATATATATATATATATATATCTATATATACATATAGTCCCATATATATACACATAAAAACATATATAATATTTTACATTCTAATAAGAAACGTTTATTATTATTATTATTATTATTATTATTATGGGCATATGTTTGACAGGCATATCTTAAATTAATCGTAAGTATGATGTTTAATTTTTTGCAAACCATAAAAAGCAAGCTGTAAGGCCTAAACAGATTCGACCTAACCAAACAATAGCTTGTCTTTTCTTCATTTATAGTTCCGCTTTTATTCATGTCTTCCTTTATACATATGCACATCTATATATACATGCATGCATATATATGCATATATATATATATATATTTTATTAGAGGTAGAAAATTTTAAATTATTTCGCTGATTAATTATAAACTAATTTTCTACCTCTAATAAAAGGTGTAACGTTACCGAAAATGTTTGTTTCCACTTTTTTGATATCGATAACGATAGGCTAGTGAGTTGACCGTATTACAAGTACTCTACCATATATATAAACATATACAAAACATATGCCCAAAAATATATCCTAAGTGTTTCCTTTTTTGTATTTACTCAACGTCATTATCATTATTATACGGAATAAATGTAGAGATGTAAGCACTAAAGATACCATAAGGAATACACACATTCTTTAAATACATGATCCTCGCATGTTTAGAATTTCTAAGGGTTAGGTTAGGAAATATGATAAAAACTTTAAGACAAAGGCACACACACACACACATACATACATACATGGGCTTGTATATATATATATATTCGTAAATAGTAACAAATCATGTTTAACACCGATCTAAGCATCTTAATAAAAAGAAGAAAATAAGAGTTTTCTTTAATCCTTTATCAACCATAGGCAAACAAGATGGCTTTCTAAAATTCGATACTATTGTGTTTGGCTTGCTGCCACGCCTTCTATAAATATGTGCTTACATACATATCCTTTAAAGCTATTTTAAGATTCACATTAATCTGTGTAAAGCACTTATAAGGTACTTAAAAAAATGTTGATTAAGTCCATAGCGCAGATTCATATTTCTCGTTTAATTTAAAATTTTTTGCTTCTTCCTTATGCATTTTCTATTCTTATTTTTTTTTTCTTTTTTTTCTTTCTTTTTGCTTTATTCTCACACAATTCATTTGTAATAAGTAAAAATTCATTTTCTATACAAAATATTTCATAACCGGGAAATATTGCTACTACTGCTCTGTTCTCTTTCCAAAATGCGCTACAAAAAAAAAAACAAAATAAAAAAACTTAAATTTTTTCCTATATGTGATGTGTATGCGTGTATGTATGTATGTATGTATGTATGTATGTATGCGTTTACATTAAACAGAAAATTATGAACAAAATTATCTATTTTTGTCGTTCTCTAATCTTACGATATTTTTTTTTTTTTGCTGTGGAAAAATTTTTGATAAAATTTTTTGTATATTTTTTTTTTTTTTAAGACAAAAATTATTGTTCCTTTTTTTTTTTTGATTAGTTTTTTTACCAAACTTGAAAGAAATGAATATTTAGCACATTTTTTTTTTAGTTTTTTTACACATATTTAATAATTTTTTACTTAAATAAAAGCAAAAAAAAAAACAAAAATTGCGGATTGCTTGTAATCACGTACATAAAAATAATAATTTAAAAATTATTTATGCCTGTATGTGTGTGAGAAAGTGCTTTAAAAATTTTTACGAAAATCGCCAAATATTTAAAGCGGTTTAAGGAAGTGTTCGATTCGGAGTCTTACTATATACTGAAAATATATTTGAACATAAATTTAGTCCAAATCTTAACATAAAACTGAAAGGCTCGGAAAAGAGCCATTTTTTCACGTGCTCTCGTTTATCCACCTCTCTTATTCTTCTTTCTTTCTTAGTTTTTTTTCTTTTTTTCACATCCATCACAGAAGGATGGGGGTATATTAGATTTGTCCTTTCATTTGTAACACTTGAGAGATAATCATCATCGTATTCCCCAGAACACATATACATTCTTGATTAGCCTAAGATTCTCAGCCGATTCAGACCTAAAGCAGATATGCATATGGAAAGGTAAAAAGGGTTGTAACGCAAGCATTGTAAACTTCCTAACACGGCTAGACCACGGTATGCACATTTACGAACTTCAATGAGAATACGCTTATGACCTACATACAATCACGCCTATAACAACAGGAAAAAAAAACCACATATGACTTGCACCCTACTTGAGGTAGACACACATATCGCTTAATGTCAATTAGAAAGCCTAGTGTAAAACAGTTCGTGTCGATCAACTTTAGCCATATATACGTATATGTTGCAATTTTAGCGCTTTGAACGAGAATGATGATGATGAGTATCTGAAATTCGTCCTAAGGTAAACATTCCTGCCTTATTTCTTCGACGTACGTGTGCCAGGGTATATATATATATATATGTGAGTTGATGTGGCGGTTTTAAGTATATAGGTGTGCATAGACATACACAAATGATGATAAGCTTTACCTTATCAAAATTTCGGTTACTCACCTCTTGATGCTCCAAACGATTGCTGTCGTCGGTTGTATTATTTTTCTGGTAAATTTGCGAGGTAGCGGCCTCCGCACCTTTCATTATTATACTGGCGCCCAAAAATTTATTAAGTAAAGCTCGAGCCTCTTGATCACTGGCCGTATCGCCTTCTTCAACAACTTTAATAAACCGTAAAAGAAAAAGAAAATTTGAATATATCGCCGGTAAACTAAGAATTTTAAATACGATTTCCAACCACTTGCAACTATGCCAATTAATTGCAAACTTAATTGTTATTATTTTCATAAAGAATTGAAAAAAAATTTGCTTACTCTTATTCTTCTTCAAAAAATTCAGCAAATCAGTTATGGACGATTCTTCGAGCCAAAAGGGAAATGTTCAGTCGGAACATGAAGTTCTTCGTCTGATACTATTTTTTACTATTTATTGTTTTTGTACATTTCTATATTAGTTTTATCCATTTTTTATTATGTTGTGTGTGTGTCAACCACGTTTTTCTTTTATACTCTACACCACTTGTGTTAAAGGGTATGTGAAGTTTGCACGGACAATTGTAACACACAGAAGAATTTGAGGTAGACGCACCTTTTATTACACCGATAAGAATTCTAAATCGCTCTAAGCTTCTCTGTCCATCTGTCCGTCAGTCCATGTGTTTTTGTTTTTAATCTACTGAATCGCAATTTTCGAGATATTTTGATAAATTTTGGTATACATACTGATGTGTTTTAGCCCAAGGATGAACGCTATTGAAAATGGTTCGAATCGGACCACTTTTTTACTTTATTCTGATAAGCTGTTATAAGAAAAAAATTGTAATTTTTAGAATTTCGCAATCTAAAAATACTTCTTGGCGAAAAGTTGTAGTAATTTGACATAAAAATTAACCTTATCAAATTTGGACCACATAGGTCTATATTTTGGAAGTTTCTGTAGAATACTGTGGCTTTATATGTCAAAAGAAAGTCATTGTTAAGGCTACACGGCCTAATTTGTGGTTTACTATGGCGGAAGCAATAGAGAACCAATAAAATCTTTGAGAGGTAAATTAGGTTTGCTAAATTTAGATCATGTTGACGGTTGAGTACTCTCGAATATGAGGACTTTCATGAAAATTATGCATTGGCACAAGAATAATGTAGAACTTTTGTTGTATTATTAATTAAGCGAAATGTTGTAGGGTAGTGAAGTGTGTAGGGTATCTCGACTAACTATAGCATTCTTATTTCTTTTTGTTTTTTTTTTTTTTTTTTTTTTTTTTTTTGTGTTAATTATTTATGGACTTCAAAAGTGAAAATTAAAATTTTTTTTTTTGCTTTATTCCTTCATACATTTTTTTTCCTTACTTTTGACGTCATATCGCTGTATTTGTCCTACTCTTTCCTTGCCGTTTCAATTTATCAAGATATATCTTTCAATCATAGAACGGAACATACATCAATTCGGAAATTATGCAAAAATTTATGAAAAGTTGAAATTAATTTCGTTACCACGTTACTGATAAGTCAGGAATTCAATTCCACTAAGTTGTCGCGCCAATAAATTTCAAAAGTGCAACAGACTTGACGGCAACCGCAGTTTTTCGGCTAATGTTTTTGGGAAAAAATTTGCTTTCAGGAACTTATGAAATGATATAAAGAGCGCTCATTTGTATAGCCAGTGACACATATATAGCACGCATTTCATGCAAATATTTATCAAGAGCTTTATAAAAACAAAAAGGAAAAGCAAAATATCTCCTTGCATTTTAAAATAGTTCACAGTTCAAGAGCTAAGACCATATTAAGTATTTCATGAACTCGATTTGGGGAAAAATATATGCCTTACGCATATTCCAAAAATTAAATATTTTCTCGCTAAGAACAATCAGCTATAAACCTGAATCTGGAATTCTTTAGGTCGTTATCATGTATAACAAGTGGATCAGGGCCCATTATTATGTAGTCTACATCACTCTACAATTATACATACAAGGGCGTTGCAAAATAAGGCCTTACATGGAACGTGGTCGAAAAAGTGATCCGATCCGAATCGTTAGTGTTAGTCGTGCTCATCTACGTCCGTGCACCAAATTTCATTGAAATATTTCGAAAATTGTATCCTTTAAATTGAGCACAAGAAAAGAAGACGGATGCGCGGACGGACAAGTTTATATCAGTTGACACGAATAACGATCGGGGTAAACACAAAAAATATCGAAATGAAATTTGGTATTAATGAGTCGTTTTTGATAATGTATTATGTATATCTAAGCCGAAGGCAAAGTCGTTCGAGTCAAGAGAGTTGAATTGTAATCTTCGAACATATAAGATTAGAAAAAGCATTAAAAGGCATTATTAATACTAATTAGTATAAATAATTCATTTAGAAATATGTCGATTTTTTTGAAATTGTAAATAAAACCCACGTTATCCTAAAAATATGCGGTTCGGTGGTATGAACCGATTTTTGAGAAATAAGCGTGAAATCACAAGGACACCTTTTACATAACAGTACTTTTGGATAGGTCTAAGCAAATCCTTTGTAGCAATGAAAGAAACATTTCCTCATTTCATTTGCAAAGTTTGATTTTTGTTTAATGGCATTTTATTTAATTCGGGGGTACTTTCCAGCCGCCTTTTTGTTTCCGAATGTAAATTAAAAAAAAATACTTTTGAGTTTTTGAGGAGAGCAATGAATTCGTCATTTACGAATTAAAGCAATCAAAAGCAAAGAGAACCTTACGAGTATTAAAAAATTAGGAAAATAAATTCGTACACTATACTATTCTTATAATCTCTTTCAGGCAACGCTCTGTGCACATAAAGCGACAAAGCGAGCAAAAACGCACACTTTTCTAATGAAATATTTTCTTTACATTAAACACAAACAATGCTATCAACTAAGAACAAATTCCGTTAGTTATATAGTTAAAGATTTTTTTTTTTTTGTGTTTTTATGTCCCTGGTTGTACATGTGTGATAAATAGATACATTTGTAAAGAGTTTGGATTGGAATTTTATACATACTTCATTTTTATACCCATAACCGATGGATCAGGGTATATTCATTTTATCAAAACGTTTGCAAAACCCAGAAGAAAGTTCTTGGTTCGCTTCAAATTTTGCATCGATTTAAGCATTTACGTCTGTCCGTTTGTGCAATGTATTGGCCACAGAAAGTAAAAAAATCGACTTTAAATTTAATAAAAACCATTAGTAGTTCTTGCATGTAAATTAATATTGAAAATGGGTTGGGAATCGGGCGAAGAACACACCTCCATTACCACGTAAGCTGAAAGCATCTTTGTTTGTCAAACGGAATAAAAAAATCGGGGTCTTGCTTATTACGCACAAATCATGACAAATAAAGCCATAAAAATTTCTATAAAATTTATACTCTATGGGCGATGCTGTAGTTCTTGAATGGGAAAAAACAGCCTCGCCTATCCAATATTATAGTAAATTAAAATTTCATTTTCTTGTCACGCCCGGAAGTAAACTTAAAAAAAAAACCTCGGAAGGTATGTACATATTTGCCCGGTGTCAAATTTGGAATGCATCTGAGCATATACCTTTTTTCATCCGTCCATCTGTCCGTCTGTCCAATTGTGTAGTAACCTGTGGTAAAAGTTGCAAATTCGCGGAAATGAGGGACAAACGGACGTGCTTAAAGCGTTTCAGAAGTTGACGCTGATCAAATATATATATATATCAATATATATATATATATATATATATATATATATATATATATAGTTTGTAGGGCCTCGGAAGCTTCTTTCCGAGCGTTGTAAACGTTTTGACAAAATGAATATACCTCTTATATCTCAATGATAGGTATAAAAATAGGAAAAATCAGCCGCGCTCATCCCATGTTATAGAAAATGAAAATTTAATTTTTCCTTACGTTTTAGTTTTTCTTAGCATAATGGTGATTGGTGGTGGGTCACAGGCGAATATAATTTTCTTACTTGTTTACTTTAACAGTGGAACTGAATCGCTTCTCACGAATCGGTATAGGCGGCCAGGAGAAAATATCGCATAAGCCTTGTTTTTAATTAGAAACTTGAAAATTGCGAAAATAGATTTTCTTCAAAGGAAAACCAAATGTAATGCAACCAATCATTAAGCACAATACGACAAACGGATTCGGGAGACAAGTTAATAGTCTAAGCAATTTCCCCCCAAATTTGAATCAGGATTTTTCCAAAAGCATTAATTTGGCCGATGAAGGTATAACAAATCTCTTGAAGATTTTTTATTATAAAAATGCATTCAAAGTATATCATGAATTTTCTAAACAAACTATGAGTCATTGATCTCGTCATCATTCATTACTTTTGGCAACATTGATTAAGCGTAATTATTGAAAAACTGTTTCTAACTATTTCGATTTTTTAGCTTTCGTTGTATTAGAAAGAGAAACACAAAGCATTATTTTACGCGCACTTACCATTATCGGCATTTTTCATTAGTTCCAAAACATCGCTAACGTTGTGCATTACTTTTTCCTCACTATTCAAGAAGGATTTTGTGGTCGATGTAAAGATCTGTTGAATTTCATCAGTTTCCCGTGCACTCTCGTTATCGTTAATTGTATGATAGATTTGATAAGGATCTGAGTCGTCGTCATCCGTGGTCATAGTCGATATTTTGTAATTGTCTTCTTCCGATGTCTGATAAAAATCTGAGCGATCTTTTTTAAGATTTGGAGAAGTTTCTCTATACAAGTTTTTATCATTTTTCTCATTTTCCCTGCTATGTGATACATAGGCAATATTTGCAGATCCTGAAAATTCCTTCATTGATTTCTCGTCATCCTTTCTATTGAGTATATACTGTAAGAAGACATTTTCAATTAATTATTAATGGGATTAAAGATAAACTATTATATTTAGGGTAAATCGATCTATTTGTATATATGTCCTATGTGGTAATAAAAACTAATGTGCTATACGAACATTTTTGCGATAAAAAGTAAAAATATTTGTTTTTTTTTTCTATTTTTCTGAATAGATAACCGGATTGTATCTGGTGACGGACATAAATAAATAAAATAAATTGAAGCGAAAATTAATAATAAGAGTTTCTTACATTATCTTGATATGTAGACTTTTTTTCGCTTATTTGATTTGTCAGTTGCTTCAACTGATTTGGATTTGTGGAATAATAAAATTCTTGACGCTGTTTAATTGGTGCTGTTTTGTTATCAGAATAGCTTCTCTCTTCGATTACATATCCGGTGACTTCTATATGAAAAGATGCAAACATTATTAAAAAAGCATTTTTTTATATTATAATATTCTTTAAATAAAATACCTTCAGTTATGTCACTGGGTTTAAGAGTGGGCTTCTTTTTCAATGCTTTTATACCAAAGAGAGGTAAACCATTCTCATCGGTCGGACCAATTCCATAACTTGATATTACTGAATCCTGCTCCTGTTTAGTAGAAATTTCTTTCTGTGTAAATGTTGTTTTCGCAGTTTTATTATAAATTGTCGGAACTTCAGCGTTCGCTGGTGTTGATTTTCTGGAAGCTTTTGGCTTAAGCACGTTACTCCTATTCACCCAAATTGGCACTTTAGCATCAGTTTTAGAATCAGTTTCATATTTTTGCTTAGCAGTTTTTTTCAATACGTATTCCTGGCGTACGTTGCTTTTTGGCGTGGAGCTTACGTTTTCGGGGCTTCCACTGATTACACGCTGAATTTTTTGTTGCGAACTAATAGTATGCTCTCGCATCGTAACAGCTCTTTTTGCATCTGGACTAACAGTACGTGAAATGTTGACCTCCTTGGCCGAATGATCAGGCACGAATGAGAGATTTTCTTTCGGAGGGTGCTGTGACCGCGAAGGCGGGCTAACATTTCTCCGGTTGATCTTCTGTTCCCATAAGTTAGCCTTGCTATCGTTATGGTCAGGACTAAGTTCACGCGACTTTATAGGCTGCGATTTAGGTGGCGAAGCGTATTGAACCTTACTGCAGTCAGAACTACGTTCAGGTGATCGTTTAGATTGCGGTCCTGATGGTGAAATTTTTCGTGCCTTACTGCTGGAAGGGCTGCGTTCAGGTGACTTTTTAAATTGCGTTTCTGATTGTGAGCTAACCTTTCTATCGTGTAATTTGCGTGTGTCTGCAGTAGCCTCCCGAATATTGCTGCGATCAGGACTTTGTTTAGGTGATCTTTTAGACTGAATTGTCAATTGCGGACAGACATTGCTCTGTGCAATTTTTTGACATTCCAAAGTGCAACTATGTGTTTGCTGGTAATCAGAGTTACGTTCAGATAATTTCCTGGTCAGTGATCGTGATTCTGGGCTAATGCTTCTGTCTTTCATTTCCGAAGCAGAGTCATACGAATCATAACCATTATGACTGTGTTGAGACTGCTTCTTCAATTGGGATCGGGACTCTGAAGTAAAATTTTTTTCACTTAATTTTTGTGCTTCTATGCTAACATGATTTGAGTTGCAACCGTCCAGTTTTCTCTCAGAATATCTATTACGTTGAGTTCCTGAGCGCGGACTAACGTTTCCTTGCTGCATTTTTTGATGTTTTTGCATAGGCTCACGTGAATGTCGATCAGCATCAATTTCAGATGATTTATTATGTTGTGACCTTGAATATGTACTAACGTTGCTCTCTTTCATTCTTTGTGACTCTAATTGAAATTCGCGTAAACTTTTGTCATCAAATCTTCTTTCAGGTGATTTTGGTGATGGTGATCTTCTTTGTGAACTTGTGCATACCTCGTGCGTCTTTCGCGAATTGCGACGATCAGGACTGCTATCAGGAGATTGGCTAGGATAAGTCTTCTTAACGTTTGAACTTATATGCGGGGATGAATATTTGGGATTTTTCAAAGATTTCGATACTTCTACATCATTCGAATCGACTGTCTCGAATGTAAACGACTTTACTTTTCCAACAACTGTTTGGGAATCCGTTTCCTGTCGTATTTCTTTTTTCAGGTCACTTCTTATCATTTTATGCTTCGGACTGTGACTACGTTCGGATTCGATTCTGCTATCCCCGAATTCTTTATCCGACTGTTCAAAGCTCGTAATATGGGAGTTCGTTTTATAATTCTCGTCGTTCGTTGAGTCTTTCCTAAGTAAACGTATTTGAGCTCGAATTCGGCGCCTCAGCTCATATGAAGTCGACTCCTCCAACATTTGCTCAAGTACATTAATGTCGAATATTTCTTCAACATTTACTTCTTCGCCAACGTCACCTGTAAGATTGATAGCTTTGCCAACGGCTTGCGGTATATCAAACTTGACTGACGTGGCACGTTCATTTTGTGTATGAGTTTCGTCGTCACGAGAAGGTTTTCTCAAAAAATTCGATTTATTAACTTCAAGAGAGTCACGACGAGTATGTTCCAAGGAACTTTTCGTGTGATCCATATAAGAGGGACGCTTTCCTGCAAACAAAGGAGCAGAGGAATCTAGTTTTTTGTTAGTCTTGCTCATTGTTATATGGTTTTCGAATATGTTACGTCGTGATGTTACAGACCCGTTAGTATATTTGGGGACTGGTTTTGCGGTATCTAAAACCATTTTAGCCGATATATCGGCATCGGAATGTTGAGGGTGAGTGGAACTAACATTAGGATAATCGGTTACTTGGTTCCCTGGTGTTTCGGATTTTTTCAAAGATTGGTTAATGCTACTGGATGAGACTTTCGTTTCAATAGATTGTTGATGCTTAAATGAAACATCTGTTGGAAAATTCTGCTTCGTTGGGCTCGGTGACTTCGGCGTCTTATGTGTTAAATGTACTTGACCAAGTTTCTCTTTTGGTTCAGCATCTTTAGAAACCGGTTTGCCACCAATATGTCGTTTGTAATCGCTTTCAATATCGTCTACAACATGTCGAGCAATTTGTGATGTCCGTGCTTCTGTGGGTACTGGCATGGAATTTGGACGTGGAGCCAATCTAGCTTGGAAAACAGATGGCCTACTTAATATGTCATTCTGACGACGCATTTCAATATCAGTGGTATGACTTGCAGTATGAGGTATCATTTTGTCCTTAAGATCATCAGGGGAAAACTTTTCCAATTTTTGTGGAACCAAATTTTTAGTAACGTGAACCGACTTCTTGGAATTACTTTCAATTTCTTCTAAATCTTCTTCTGCTTGATAAGAGGTTGTCATATGTTTCGATATATGTCGTACAAGTTCTGGAGATTTTTGTGGAGTTGAGGGAGCCAGTTTCACCGTAGTACTTAGCTCGCGTAATACGCCGTCAGAGATATTAGCGTTTATGTTCAAAGTTTCAAAAGTAGATCCCTCTGTTACAGGTGCAGAGTCAAGGTTTCTTTTGTCATGACTCACGAAAAATTCCTTATCGTCAGTTTTGTCTACTTTTGAAGCATTAGCGGTTTTATTATATGGCTTTGATATCGATTTCGGTTTTCGAATTTCCTCCGAAGCTTGTGAAAATTTGGACACTTTTTCTTGCACAGTCAATAAACATTCATCGTCATCTGTCATAACAATTGATGGGGAATTGTCCGGTTCATATGGGATATCCATGAAATGGCTGTCGGTAACGTTAGTTTGATTTTGTAAATATACTTCAGATACGTGACATCTCACGTATGCATTGGTCTCTTCTTCAAAAATGGGAATATTCTTTTCAATAGATTTGTTTCGCGGTTCATCCTCTGGTTCCTGAACTAAATCAGGATATCTCGGTTTGCCGACATCTAATTCAGTCGGAACAGGAGTAGGAACAATTTTATCGGGTGATGCTTCACGTGAGCTTTTCGCATGTTGAATATCAATAATAACGTTTTCCATGTCCTTGCTACTAAGTGACAATCGATCCTCCGAAGCTAAATTAATAGTTTTGGTAGCGAAACATTTTTTCGGCCTACGCTCGGATGATACCGTCGGTGCTGTCTTTTCCGATGGCTTCCCTGTAATTTTAATTATTTTTTCACTTGACGAACGTGACACTTTTAAATCTTTTAAACTACGTGTTACCCTATTTACAGGAGCCGAATCTTTTCGTTCGGTTATGAGATTTCTTTGAGCGATTTTTTCTTTTAAAGTGCATGAATTAGTATTTTTAGAATCGTGTCTATTTAATGTTTGAGGTCCTTTTACGCCACCATCAGTAGACATATTTGGAGCGGTATGATCTATGATTATTTCCGTATTAACCGAAATATTGCTTGACCTTCGTCGTGATAAATAACTTTCACAATCTGGATCTGGTAAACCATTATCTACATCATCGGTTTTTGAGGGTACATCGATATGTGTAACTTGTTCTGTTGAGCGAACAGGTTTCATTACTGAGACATTTTTTGTAGATTTAGGCGTCTTTGAAGGCGAAGCCAGAGTTTTCGAAGGTTTATCGATTTTATTCTTCCGGGATGTTATAATGTGAGACTTGCGACTTACTTGTTTTGGGGATATCTCTGCCTTCTGTTCAGTTTTATTATAGTAATTAGAGTTTTCAGGTGTTTTTTCGTAATCCAGTGTTTTCTTTTGTCCCCCATATTCGCTATCATCGGTATTCTCACAAGAATTATCAGGAGATTCGGTTTCTCGTACTTGTGAGTCAAGAGATTTTCTTTTACTAAGCCTATCGGTTTCAAAGGGAACTCGAGCTCCAGTTTTGTAATCAGCGGCATTCATCTCACTTGGTTTGAAGTCCTTTTCAACTGATGGCTTTGGATACTTTTCTCGGTTATCATCATCATGAACACTATCCACAAGATTTATTTCCAACTCCAAGTTTTTATCGTCCATATCATCTCCAGGCTCAGTACTGGGTCGCGAACGATTTTTAAATGTTCCATGTACAGTGCCATAATCCTCCATACCTAATATCTGACGGCATCTTTCTTCGAAAGTTTCTCTGTGACTCACACCTTTCTTTCGAAAGTTCGACTTATGCTGAATTGAATTTGAAGGTTCTGAAGCTTTTGATAAAAGAAGACCGTCAGCCGCTTCCTCTAAGGGAACCTGCTCGCCCGAATTTCCCTCTATTTCCAAATTATTAACAAATGGCTGCTTCTGTACTTTTTCATGATTATTTTTTATATCATTGTCATATTTCGTTGATCCGGCTGAAGTTTCAAAAGTTTCTATCATTTTTATTACAGAAGAGGAAACTGTATCTGGTTTTTTATATTTAGGCAATTCCTCAGTTGTAGTGAGATTTGTTTTTAAGGTAGTCGGCTTAGTGGAATTATCTTTTAAATTATTCCCATCTTCATCATCTGTGTATTGTTCATTTGTAGCTTTCTCTGTTGGTTTAGATGTTGGCCTCTTGATGTTATCCGCATCGTGATAGAATTTATATTCCATCGACGTTTGCCCTGAAGGTTCTACGGGCGTCTTTTGGGTAAAGTCGGTGTCCATTTTGCAAATTTTTGGTTTTTCTTGTGGGATTGGCGATCGTGTTTGAGTTTTAGGGAGATTAAAAGTTTCCTTTTCGTTTTCCAAATATTCATGCGTTTCGTCAGGTTTCTTCATATATGAAGATTTATCTTCATGTGTCCTATCGTCCTTGACGGTGGTCTTAATTGATTTTTCACTACTGTCTTCTTTCTTATTACGATCAGTAGATCCAGTTAGTTTTATTTGATGAGAACTTATTTGTATATTTTCAGTATCTTTTTTTGGCGAAGGTTCTTTACTGCGATATGAGTCAATTTCTGGCTGAGTGTAAGATAACGATTTATTGTCAATTTTTTTTAAGTTCATTGTTTGATCGTTGTCATGTGTTACATCCGTTAAAAATCGTTCTTGATTTATAAATTTTGAATTTTCAATATTTTTCGAAATGTTTGCAGATCTGAACGTTTTAGTTGATTCGGAAAATTTAGGTGATTTTTCTCTATCTGAAAGATTTGAATCGGAATATTTGTCAAAATCCTGAAACTCTCTGTTAAAACCTTGTCTATCGTAGTAATTATCTTGGGCTTCAGGAGTTTCGTGTATCCTACCAGTTACTTCGTATTCATCAACCAGTAGTGTTTCCTCTGACAATGATTGCTGGTCAATTTGTTCAAATTGATCAGATGGATATTTTTCTTTAGGTACCTTTTCGTTACCATTCGATAAAGGTTTCTGATTGATTCCATTTTGAAAATGGTGTTCAGGACTTTTTCGATTTGCGGGAGTCCGTAATCCTTTCGTTTTAGAAGGCGTCTCATTTGACATTATTGCGATTTCTGCATTGTACGAATCCGGTTTTCTTAAGGGTTTCTTAATGATCGTTTGATTGGTAAATTTCTCCTGCTTCTCATTTCGTATGTACTTACTACTACTTGAAGATAAATTTTCCTTAGGGGAGGAAGTTTTCTTATTTGTAATTTGCGCAACCTTTTTCGGGGATGATTGTGGGTTTGATTTGTCATTCCTTTGATTCCGAATGGTACCGTTTTTTTGACAATTCTCTGCAGATGGTTTTTGGTTTATAGATTTATTTGGGGTCATATTACCTGAGGTCTGACGTGGCTTGTTAGGACTCGCTTTAGGTGATTCGACCGCGCTTACTTTATAATTGTCGGAAGTCTTGTCCGAAGGTGTCATCGACTTTCTGGTACGCATTTTCGTGTACATTTGCGGAGATGAATCGACATCTTCGTTCATAATTTGGAATTCAGGAACCCCGTATTCGGATATTTGTGGCGATACCTTGCGATCATGTTTAAAGTCAGTAGAAGTAATTGAAAGTGTTTCAATGTCGCTCACAGGAGTTTTAGGTTCAGCGCTCAAAATATGTTTGCTTAAAGTCTTATCATTAGGTGTGGTTTTTCGAGGTGGTTCAGATAATGGCTGACTATGAAATTCTGCTGGGTTATCATTGTCAAACGGAATCTTAGTTTTCGAATTAGTGCGTACTCTACTATTTAGTGCAGATGTTGTGCTTGATGGCTTCTCTGTAGGAAATTGTAGTGACATTTGTCAAACGTAAGTAGTGCTTTTTCTAATCTCTATTCTATGGGTTAATGATTAGTGAATTATTATTAAGAAATAAATCTACGTACACATAAATGTGAAAATGTAGACAGGAAGGTGTTTTCTTGAATTTTCTAATTATTTTTGTTATATATTTAGATGTTACTACAGTTTGTCCTTCATGTCAAATATAATGGTGATATGAAAATTATTGACGAAAAATGGCTGAGTGCGATGAAGTGTAGGATAGAAATCCTCTTACCCGCTGTTTGTTGTGTAGCCAATGAATCGGACGGACCAAGAAGATAATACGATTTTTTAATGCATGGCTCCTCAATAGCATCACTTTGTGAGAGACGTGGATGTATGGCAAAGTTGTCAGATTTGATTGCAGATTTTGAAAGAGAAGTTAGTGGAACGTTAATAGAAAGAAATATGGAGTTGACAGGCTTAGAACTCTGGTTATCTGAAGAACATTCATTGTGGTATAGTAAAGAAAAATCTAGATTTTTTAATTCGTACCTGGTTTTGGCACATCTCTCGGTATAGTTTTACTCATCCTGGTTGCACTACTCGTCGATGTAACACTTTTACTAGGAGACGGAGATTTCGTATTACGAGGCGAGTACGTTACGTCATTTGTATCGTCTAAATAATGGTCTTTCTTTGTCGTATGTACTGTATGCTTGGTAGGTGTATGCCGTGAGGATGTTGGTTTAGTCACAGTATTTGTTGTAATGCGGCTATGATCCGAGGGCGCTGTGCTATCATTTGAACCTTCACGCATATCGCGTCGAAAGGTTTTGTTCGAAGAGATGCTTGAACGAGGCGTATGTTTTTGTGTATCAGAATAGCTCTCGCGCCTGGAATCGACCGCCGATGGGCCACGCAAAGAGGCGGCAAAAGCCCGATGGGCGGCATCTAGTTCTTTTTCCTTTTGAATTATATTTCGTGTTGCTTCAGCAGTTGTGCTACCTGGCTTTTTTACTGGCGAAGTTGATGGTGTAGGTTTTGTGTCTCTCATTGTAGGCTGTTTCTGAGAACCATCATTAGGAATATCCCTCTCAATAACTGGAATATTTCGTGAGCCCTGACTTGTCACAGGAGCTTTCCAATTATCAGTAACCACTGGCTCTGCTGAACTGGGTGTTAGAGACGGTGTAATTTCAAATTCGGAAGTAAAATTACGTTTATTTGTGTATAATTTCTCCGAACTAGCAATTGAAACATTATCATCAACATGGACCGAAGAATGTGGAATGATTGGTTCTGGCTGCTCTCTTACTTTATGAGATCTGGGAGATATATTGGGTTGAGCTTTTGACATTGTATATTGCGGTGAATTAGGATGTTCTGACGGCCTATTTGCGATTTGCCGATAACGCTCATTTTGTTGATGCGCTTCATCTATTATTACTTCCGTCTCAACGATTCTCTCTGCTTTTGATTGTTGCTTCACGTCTCGTCGCTTTTCAGATGTAACAATAATCGTTTCGCCCTCTTCGGTAGGAACGTGGAGTTCTTTTATGTTTTGTTTAGTATCCTGAGAATTAAGAGGCTGCTTTTCTTGATAAATCGGTTCAGTATACTCCACAGTATTTTTGAAACGAGGAGGCATTTCCATTTGAGGAGTACTTGAATCAGTTGATGGCTGACGTGAACTCTCTGGATGAAAGTGCCTTACAGAAGATTCTGGTACATCAGAGCGCTCCTTACTTTCGTGAATTGTCTGAGATTTACTTTCAGTAGAGAATTTTTGATGCGATTTTTTTACCGTGGAAAATTTGGCTTCTTGCGATTGCAAATCAATTGAACGGGGCGCATTTGAAAAGTTGTCAACAACATCTGCGCTAGGACGTCGCGTACTGCCTATAGGTTTTTCTACTTTATCCGGACGTGTGGGTGTTTGAACGTTGCCATGATTAGATCCTGACGAATTTACTTCCTCGGTTTCGTACCGTTTACTGCGAACAATAGTTCCATCCGGCAAATGTTTTACAGTGGTGATCATTTTCACATTCGGCTTAATATATTCTACCGTATTTGAAACTACTTCACCTGGTTGCGACATTAGATATTGAACATGTCTCTGGTACTCAGGTGAAGCTTTGTCCATGTCAACATAATTCTTGCTAACCTCGCGCGTTTCATGGGCTTGCACGGAGTTATGTACACTTCGCTCTTGGCGATTATTGATATGTTGTTCGGTTTCTCTGCGACGTTGATCAACAACTTGGTGATTTTGCTTTATATCGCTTTGTTGATTTTGTTTAATTTCTTGTTGATAAGATTGCGCTTTTCGGGATTGATCACGCTTCAAGTCATCAAAGTATTTGGAATTATCAGAAAAATTTTCATTATCATAGTCCGTCGTCGAAGACGACTGAACTACTTTAGACGACGATGAAGAAGTGGTTGAACTCATTCGTACTTCCGAGCGCCGTGAATTTTCATCGCCTGTAACTACTTTTTCTTCTAAATGGGTTTTCGAACTTTCTGCTGATTTTTTTACGAAATTCTTATCATCTCCCTGATGTGAGCCACTCGAGCATTGTTCGTTGTGGCCCTTAAATTCTACTTTACCGCCATCAATTTTTTCCATTCCTGTAACATATTCACACAAACGTACATATGAATTTTCTATAATAATTATTAAACGATTCTTAAATAAAAATTTGAGTTTGCAAAAAGATGAAGACACATTCGCGAGACAAAAGACAATTCTATACACTTTTCCGTAGAGATGCAAGAAAGATGATGTATTGGGATTTATTCGGGTCTTTGGTTTAACTTTTTGGTTTTTTAATTAGTAAGGAAACTAACCGTCATTTGCTATGTAAGCATAAGCATAGCATGTTGTTTTGAAATGCAAACATATTTAAAAAAAATAAGGTTTAATCCATTGGTGGGCGAGAATCGTGCGTCTATCTAGTCTATTATGTAATGCGTTCGAAGATATCGCTGTCAATTTTTTTAATCTGTAGACCACAATTTGCCATTTGTTCCTCTAGATAAGATTGCAAGTCACTCTGGGGCATTCAACAGCACGAGAAAGAGAAAAACACGTTTGATGAAGTCGCTTTTGCTGCTTGCGCCGCACAAGAATATGAGTTTAATGGTTAGTAGTTGCGATATATCGTCAATGGCCAGGATGCAATATGTTTAAAATCATGAATATAATCATGGATAGCCAATCGAGGATTATTCTACAGATATGATGTACTAACATAATGAAAACATTATTACAAAATTGTAAACGAAGAAGAAGAAGAAGGAGACTAAGCTTTATAACGCAGCAATCAGTGACACAATACTTAATGACACCATAAGTAGAAAAGTAGCATCTAACAGGCGAAGATGGAAAAAGGTATTTACACACAGGCATTTCCATCTGTATTCGATTAATGCTAACAAGTTAACACGTAATAATCGAGTATAGTTAAGCTCAAAGGCCGCTGCATATTTCACCTGAAAGACGACAATTGAATGGAACTATGGAATCTCTTGGGAAAGGATTATACCGCCTCGCGTTCGTCACTTTTGCTCCAGGAGCCACACATTGCGACGGTTTGAAGAAGAAGGAGAAAGAGTTTCAAACAAAATACATTATTGGAATGGGAGAATATACGAAGATCAAGCTGGTAAGGCATTCCAACATCGAGCAACTCGACCTAGGAATAAAAATTTGCGGATCTAATCTTGTCGAATGGGTAAAGCAAAACTCCAAACAAAGTTGAGATGGCAGAGAATATTTAAAAGTACCAAGTTACGACAAGCTTAAAAGCACATCCTAAGAAACATTTTACACGTTCAGAAATATGCATCCGTCTGCGAACTGCTGTAAACATAGCGCATAATATTGTTAGCAATACGATTTAACCTAGAAGAAAAATAAGCCAAGAAGAAATATAAGCCACTGTCTCAGATGCGACATTAATAGGGCATAGGCCAATTTATATTTAATCCATTGAGGTAAATAAATGCTATTCGAATAAATTCGGTGCAAAATTCCTGTACGCGATCTATATATTTGCGTTTGAAAAAGATTTAAGTGTATATGTGTCGTAATTCAGTGATACGAACCCCAAGTAAATGAATCTTGGTTCATAACAAATATCAAAAGTTTCACTGACTTAAGTGCATTTAAGTTAATGTTTACCGAACTTACCATCGGTTTTTGCTACAGTTTCGGCACGAAAAGCACGTCCATCCGGACTAACTTCGGACGATGATTGCACGTTCCAGCCAGTAGTGTTTGGATGATTGAGAGCCATAGAATGAAATTTTAGCTCGCTAGGACTTAGTTCTTTCGTCTTAAAAGAGTCTTCAGGACAAAGACTTGAAAACTCCCTTTCAAGATCAAGTTGTCGTTGATCCGACATTATCAATGTTTTTTAATGGCACTAAAAATTGAAAAGAAATGCCGTCAATTATAGTTGTATTGTATTCGAAATTCCTATTAAACGTTTTATTGATAAATTCTTAAAAAAAGTTTTTAGGTTTTCGTTTACAGTACGGGCTTGTTAGGCCCATTTGTTTTAGTTAAGAAAATATGTAAGAATTCATTTGAATATTTCCGCATGTATGTTTCATTTGACAATTGCCTTGAATTGACCTTTAACCTGACATAATATTTAATATAAAGCTACGTGCCGTCTCAATATATAAATCCAATGCGTATAATGACGTTTTCGATCGTTATGTATTCAATATGGCTTTCTGCACTCATAGACATATATTTGGGTATCTGTATTCATATACATATATGTCCACAATTGATTTCATGACATTTCGAGGTCAAAACGCAATTTTGCGCATTTTAACAGCACCAACAGCAGCAACAGTCTTTAATATATTTTGAAAAACACTTTATTTGCGCATACATATATATATATATACATTTATAAAGTTAAACATATATAAAAAAAAAAGAAAAGAAAAGATAATGAAGTCATATACATGGAGATATGATAACCGCCTGTGCTACTATAAAGATGACGTCACAAACTCAAACGATTTGCACTCTTTATTACTCGAATTATATGAATATATTTTTTTGATTTTGTTTTCTCCATTAGGCTGTCGCAATAGCGACAATGTTTTGTTCGTTTGTAACGAAATTTTCAAATTTATACTTATTTCAAAAAAATGACCTAATTGTTAAAAACCATTACAACCAGTTTTTAACACTGATTTAATTAAATACAAACTACGTCATGCGGAGGCGTTGCAGTCATTATAAATAAAAATTTATTGCATTTTGCATAAAAAAAAAAAAAACAGTTTTTATTAAAATTGCAAAATGGTAAGATTTAAAAAAAAAAAAAAACCAGTTCTTCCTAATCGAAATAAAATATCTAAAATCCGTTACTTTCAGTTAGCGTCAAAGTTCTTACATTTAAATGCCCCGAACACTAACTCATTAGCGAAGCAATAATAACATAATTACGTTAACAAGATTATTGCATATATGGGGTGTGTGGGTGAAGAATTTCACCACAAATGCAATTGGCGTCAGAGCCTAAATTAATTGAAAAAATATTTTGTGACAATTTCATTATGGTAAGCGAAAGCCATTTAAAGCTCTATTTATATTACGTTGAGACGTTACATTGCACAGATTAATAATTAATTATAGGATTTCGAGTAAGAGCGACAGCTGAAGGGCATAATAAGAATAAAAAGTAAATCTTGATTTAAAATTGTAAACGATACTTTATCTACTTTATTATATGTTATTTCAAAGTTTTAATATTTTAATATTTTTTAAAAACTCTACTCTAATGATTAAATACATCCGTCATACGTCACTTCTTATGCGCAAAATTGGAATAAAACGAAACACATCGAGGACAGTTTGTTAAACGAGTCATCAATCTGAACTTCAAACTTAATATAAGAAATTTACTAAGAAAAGGCTTAACACTTGCGAGGACTTGCAGTCCCTCGTCCCATGTTTTCGCCTTACATTCGTCTCGATGGAGAATCCTAGATTAAGCGCTTTTAAATCATAACAGTAATAAGGTGATTTATTTTTAATCTGACGCAAAGGACGACCAATTTCTAATTGTTTCTGATTTCTGTTATCTAACTGCGATACGGTAAGGAACAAGTGACTTCCGATGTGGCCCAAGTTAACGGACAGACTCGGTATTTCGGTTTTTCTTCCCGACCAACATCATACGTCTGCGTTAAGTTTGCGATCCAACAGTATTCTGTATATAGAACTCACGAATGAAGATCGATGAAATTATTTTGTCCTAATAAATCGAAATATTTCGAAATTTGAACCGAGAAGCGTATCGTAATCCTAATAAATTCTAAGCCTCGTGGAAATAAATAAATAAGAATCGCTTCCCCTTTTTTCGAAATATTCTAAGCAATATGAATTTCTTATGGGGACTCTGCGACACGGCGAGTTTAATACGTCGACATAGAACTAATCAGTAGTTTTACATCTCACAAACTATTTCTAACAAAATTGTCAGAAGGAACCTTTTTATCAAAATAGATATACAAAATCTTGAAAACTCGATAGCAACATTAGGATCGAAAGATGTTTCATTCGATAATAAGAAAAATATATATTTTATTGACAGCTGTAAGCGCTTTACTCGAGTCCATAAGCTACAGCTATCGCGTTTACTCGATATCGAGAGCTATAATCCGGCTCCAGTGTTTTGCAATCTTGTTGGTATTCCTAAGTTAAAAAGAAACAAGTAAAAAAATTAAAATGACAAAGAGAGTAAAAGAACTCAATTTTCATGTTCTATTATATTCAGTGGGCGCGGCTGACTTTTTATTTTTTCCAAAATAAAAGCTGAGGCGGTTAGGCGTTGTAAGTGTATACTTGGGAACGCGGAAGTCACTTCAAAGTAAACGGAGCAAGATTTACCGCAGATACTATTGAGTTGGGCGGACGGACAGATGGACAGACGAGCACACGAACGTGCTTAGGTGCATTTACATTGATTAATATTTATATACTTTTTGGGGTTTTTGGAAACCCGCTTCTGCGCGTTATAACCGTATTAAAAAAAATGATATTTTGATATCCTATAAAATTGTGTACGCTACAGCACCAAACATGGAATATACGTTCAAAATTTTGGGGATTTATCTGCTTTAGTTTAAGGTTAATGCGCAAAAACTAATCTTTTATCCTTTTTGAAAAAAAGAGGTGATCTTATATGACCTAGTCCGGTAAGCGTGTTCTTCGGATTGTTCTTCCGATTTGATCCATTTTCAATATCAACCTACGTGCAAGAATTAGCAATGTTTCTGCAAAATACGCAATCGATAGCTGCATTTTTACTGCCAGAGATATGTTTACAACAGATCCTACGCAGATGGACAGGCAGTTATGCTTAAATCGATTCAGAATTTGATGCTGATCAAGAATATACATACGGCCTCTGAAATATTTCACAAAATGAACATATCCCCCTCCTCCGGTGAACGTAACTTCACGCTTCAAGCAAAATTGTTAAAATCGTGATCGTTGCTGTAACGGACGCAGATATAGGATAAACAGATGATAAAATACGTTCCGTGTGGCGAGAGTACATTACGCTATTATTAAGATGATGAATCATACCGCCGCAGGGAGTACTGTACTCACTGTACCCTCTTAATAAAGTTCTTGTATTTTTTTACGTTTTCTGTATCAATCTAAGTTTGTCTGTCCGTGTTTTCTTATGTTCTATATATATAGACCTACTTTTAATTCAAAGTCATTTTTCTGCATCAATCTAAGTTTGTCTGTCCGTCGTTTCATCCACCCGCCTTCTTTCTTATGCTCAACGTAGAGCTCCCGATTTTCAAGATATCTTGATGAAATTTGACACACTGGCCTAAGGACAAATGCTATTGGAAATAATATTTGGAAAAGTCGTTATATGAAAAATTGTATTCATGGTGGGCCGTGTCACATTATAAGTCGTTACTTGTAAAGATCTTACTTTGTAAAGAACATCGATTTCAAATGAAATAATATTTGGAAAAGTCGTTATATGAAAAATTGTATTCATGGTGGGCCGTGTCACATTATAAGTCGTTACTTGTAAAGATCTTACTTTGTAAAGAACATCGATTTCAAATGACGAGTTTAGTTGTCCAGTATTTAATATGTTTGTATTAGACAGAGTATAAAGTAATCGTATTCGAGTTGAGGTGACTTGAGGATTTGGAATCATTTTAGTTTTAGCTATTCTGTTTAGTGTTAGGTAAAGCATTAAAAATTCCCCTATAAGAAATTGACCGAAAGACAAACACCTATTAATTGCAATATATATAGCAATGTGAAAAATGGGCGCAAAAATATTGGCTTTGTGAACAAATAACAAAACAAGTCTCTCATCCTCATCTCTGCCCTACTCATTTTCCTTCCTCAGCCCAAATAGAGATGGAATTATATGTACAATAATTGTTTCACACTTGACGGTATTATCTCGATTTTTATCTCTGTCTCTCTATCTCTCTCTCTCTCTCTCTCTCTCTCTCTCTCTCTCTCTCTCTCTCT